CAGGAAGAAGAACATATACTTAAAAAAAATACCTTTTTTTCTTTTAGTCCTGTGAAACACATTCTGTTTCAAAATCAAGTGTTCCTTATTTTGTAAAGTGAAAATTAAGAGAAACGTTGGATGAGGGAACACCCAGAAAACTGTATAATGCAAACTATGAACAAAACACGGAGAGCATAGTATGTTCACACATGTAAGAAATTGCCCTGGGGTTTTAGTGAGTTCAAATCAAAAACAGGATGTAAAGCAAATGGCAACTCTCCTAATGTCAAGAAATGGGAAAAAAAAAAAAAAAAAAAAGTGAAAGCTCATCTTCTCTGACTGTGCATGGAAATTAGCTAGCTAGCTAAATCTGGTTTAAAGCATCTTTTGTCTTCTGAGGCTAATGTTTTTGTTTTTTTTACACTATCCCTGATTCAAATAAACTAATAAACTGAACTTTAAATATCCTGTGAAAGAAGTCCAGTGGGTAGAATAAAATAGCACATATATAATTTTTTTGTTATAGTTGTAAATTCTCTAACCTTTGTGTTGCAGGGAGTTCATTTACCCTAAACAGCAGTGCAGGGTTAAGACCACTGAATCTACTGCAGGTATGTTGGCTGTTGGTTTGTTACACCGTTAGGGGCATGCAATCTGTATTTGTTTGATATAGAAACTGTCCTTATCCTGCACACACCTGACTGTATTTGTAAAAATCCCTTTACTACCCTTACCCCCCCTATCTGAGATTCTGATTGTGGTCTAGTTACCCTGTGTTGTTTGACTGCTTGTTAATTCTCCTATTTCCCTCTCCCTATATCCCTATATTCTCCTCTCCCCTGCCTGTCCTCTCTCCTTCATCCTCCTCTCCCGGTCTGTTATTCTCCCCACTTCTTTTTGTTGTTGTCGTTGTTGTGGTGTGCGTTGTGTGTGTTTGTGTTTTTACCCTCCAGATCCCCACTGGTCCTCTCATCTTTAACTCTCTGCAGCAGCAGCAGCTGTCTCAGTTCTCGCCACAGCAGAGTCAGTCGGCCACCTCCAGCCCTCAGCAGCAGGGGGAGACGGTGAGAGGCACAGTCACAGTTGCACACACAAACGGCAACAAGTCATTGAGAGGCTCACTTTGTGTTTGATGATGATAGGATTCAATTCAATTCAGTTCAATTCCAAAAACTTTATTTGTCCCCGGGGGGCAATTCAAACACAGTGTCCATGTTTGTACAAATCCAAACAGAGTATAGAAAAAATACAACTATGGATTGTCTTAAGGAAAAAATCAGGGAAACATTTCATCACATTTTAGTTGTGGGGAGTTCACAAAGCCAGGATTACTGTCCTAGTGTTGTCACATTACAAGAACTTTAAATTAGGATATCAGTAAAAGATCAGATGGTATCAGTACCTGTTAAGGCGCAGGCATGCCAGTTTCAGTACTCCAGCAAAAATGGCACCCAATATAGGGTTATTTTCTTATATTTGATTCCAGACTTGCACACAGTATTGATACAGAGAATTGACTGAACACATACCAACTGTTGACAAACCTTTTAATAGCATTTGAACTGAATTTAAAAAAAAATCACAGCTTCTCCTCTACACCATAGATGCTCGTCTAACTTGTTTATCTTTATGATATGATGAAAGGGTTTAACAATACCTGTGTACTAGTCGACACAGCAGGCAGATATGCTCAAGTGTACCTATTTCTTAGGAACCTAACTGCTATAAAACATGATAAACTAAAGTATTTGCTTTGTTTTCAGTAGCAGCACTTTCTTCACTTCCTCTCTTTGTTGTTCAACCTCCACCGCTCTCTCTCTCTCTCTCTCTCTCTCTCTCTCTGTAGTTTGCGGGGTTGAAACAATGACTGTAGATCTGTTGTTGTTGTTGTTTCTTCAATAAGCTTCAGTTACTCTGTTATTATTGAACATAAAAATGACTTTCTTTTTAGGGGGAACAGGGCTCAGATCCAAGTGTAGGAAACCAGCAAACAGCGGTCATCAACCTGGGAGTGGGAAGCTTCATGTCTCCACAAGCAGCAGGTATGACCCACATTTAAACACACACACACACACACACACACACACACACACACACACACACACACAGGAACACTCAGATTAACAATTAACACACCATTTTCAAAGTTCCCTCTTCTCATCCCCGATAATTTATTTCAAAACAAATGGACACAACACACCGTATTAACTAGCACTAACAACATAAGATTGACTAATGTGTTCATTATCATAACAAATGTAAACGAGGATTCTGTGACTACATGATGGTTTAACTGACTTCAGCCATTGTTCCTCTCGATGAAGATTGTAACAAGTGACTGGAGAGACTCAACTTCCCCTTCTTTCTCTGCTACATTCACTCTTTTTATTTTTCCTCTCTTGTTTTTCCCCCCACCCTTTCCCTCCCCCCCCTGTGATCTGTTGTGCTCTTTCTCTCCCTTTGCTACCTGTCCTTCTCATTCACACCTTTTCTGGCTCACTCCATTCATACTTTTGCCCATAATCTCCTTCTAAAAATGCCCATGCACATGCTTTCTCTGCAATTTCCCCTCATTCACTCTTTTTACTTTCCTCGTGTGTGGTTATGCATCACTCAATCCCCCCCCCCTTCCCCTTATGTATGTGCACTTTCTCTCCCCATACTTTGCTCTTCCCTCTACCCTCTCCTTCTTTTGCTTCCTCTCTTCTCTCTCGTCTCATCCCCTCCCTCCCTATGGGGCTCCCTGTCTCCCTCCCCCCCTCAGTGCTGTCCCAGTTGGGCTGTGGGCTGGACGGGTCTGGGCCCCCGCTGCCTTCTCCAAGGCTTCAGCAGCACCAGCCACAGATCCAAGTAATACAGCAACTTTAACATCTTTATACACATATACATGCTTTAAGAACACTGAGGCTGCATTCAACTAAACTCTCCATGCTGTAATTTAGCGGGTCGGTGTGGTGTTCATTTGACACTGAAGAACTAAGAAGCACATGAGTTTAGTGTGTTTCTCAGACCTGGGTAGAATTGAAATAGATTGTAAAAGGCAAACTGAGCTGAATTTTATAAGCTTAGAACATCTGTAAACATTTGGAATAACTATCCTAGTAATGAAAACCTATTTAACATTTTAATTACCTTCTATGACGAAGCTTTTCTTTACTGTAAACACTCGTCAACAATAGCTGAGGGTATATTCTTTCTTTTCATGTAAGGAGTAGTTGGAGTTGATTGACGTCTGTAGCACCGCAGATCTGACTTTCAACAAAAGCCTCTAGAGATTCTTGTTTTCTCTGTCGTGGATCCACACTATTCAGCCCATCTTGTGTTGTATTTTTTGTTAACCAAGAACTCCCAGCAAACCCACACTGATATACACCCACAGAGCTTCTTGCACTTCCAATGGCAGCAACTAACAGCGTGTTGAAGTGGGAGGCATGCTCTTACAAAAAAAAAAAAGCATTTTAGGGAGAGGATCTGAAATATCGTCTAGGGGCAAAACAAACACTGTTGTAATGTTGCTGACTGCATCATTTCAGGTTAGAGATGACATTCTGTAAGCATGAAACATCCGTTTTTGTTTTTGCCCAGTTGAAGTTGCTGACTTACTCCGAGCAGAAAGCACGGTTGCCAAGCTGCATGCCCGTTGTCGTCAGGATCACAGCCAATAATTTGTGTCTCCAGAACGCCACTGGTGCTGCTTGATTGTATCCTGCCTCACTCCCCGACACACAAACCCCGCCCCCCCTTCTCCCCAAACCTGCCCACCAAACTCTCTCTCTCTTCCTCCTCCCCACCTCCCCCTTGCACCCCATTAACCCCCTCTACTGTTTATTCGCACTCCTGTATGATGAGCAGGCTTTAGTGACGCTTCACTAACACACACAGACATTTAAAGGCGTTCTTCTGGAAATCTGAGATCAATTCCATCCAGAGTGCGTGTGAAAATGTTTTGCAACTTAACATGTTTTTATTTTCAGTGCTGCGGTTGCTTGAAAAATATTCTTAGATTCGTACACAAAACATGCATTCTATCACTGGAAATGACTCTCTGTTTCTCATCTTTCCTCTGCACTTGTCAGTTGCAATTCTTGCAGCACCAAATGCAGCAGCAAATGGCTATGGGAGCAGCAGCTCCTCAGGGGGGAGCGCCACGGCAACATACCGCCAGCCAACCAAGAAGTAAGAGGAAGAGGAGCATGCCACAGCCGCTCCCCAAGTCCTGACAGACTAAAGTCACGCTAAAAAAAAAAAAAAGTTTCCCCCAGCTACATGAGGACAATATGATCTATACTGTGCTTTTTGTCTGCCTCACTGTGGAGCCTGCAGACAAAAAAAAAAAAAACTTTGTCATTTCTGTGTCTTTTTCTAGCTGACAAATTTGTAGTATTTGGTTGCCAGAGGGTTTTCGAAAACCAAGACTGTGTCCACCTTTGAGTACAAGGATTTTTAGAACAGGGAGTCCTACACCTGAAGAACCATAGTGATATTTTTTTGAGATGAAAAAGATGGTTCTAGTAGGAAAACCGGCTTTTGTAATGACAAAACGCCCCTTCAGGAAGACTTTTCACTTCAGGGGCCCTGTGGACTGAGAGGACGATGAATGCACAGTCTCAGAGGTGTCCTCCCGAGGCTGCCCAATATTCCTGCCTCGGCTCGGTTGACCCCCTCCTCCCCAGGAGAAACTGCCCTTTAAGCACGGATCCCAGCTGAGCGCATCAACACCAAATCCTCCACGTAACCGTTACATGTGAAAATGCAAAATCTGATCCTGGAGCAGTGCCTGGGGGCAGCTCTCTACCTCTCAGTCTGTTGGAAGTTTTTCTTCTGTTAGCCATCTCGGCACAGGGCTCGACCGGAGTACTGGAGATCAACATGCAAGACAGTGTACCTGTTTTTGTACAGCACATTTTGAAAAAAGGCATTTCCTTCTAAAGAGTTCAGGAGCCATGAGATATTCTTATGAGACATCAAATGAGTGTGTGTAAGACATTTCTGGACACTGAGAAATAATTTTTTAAGGAGTCTTTGTCAGCAGTTTTATTGTTATTAAAAAAAAAAAGAATATATATTGACAGTGGAAAATACAGCTTTTAGATAAAAAGTGTTGTCTGAGACTCTTCATTGGGCGGTCTTCACACTGAGTAAGACTTTGTCGATGAGTTTCTGGATCTCTTTCTGTCGCGTGGCTGCTCTGCTGATGCACTCCTGCAGCTTCTCTCCTGACAGCGACGTCCCACCTGAACCAGAGAGGGGGGGGGTGTCAGAAGCCATGTTTAATTATCAAAGTTACAGTTTTCAGTTATTACTGTTGATGTGTTTAGATGCCAACTTACTATCGCAGTTCACACGATGACAGTTTTACATTTGGATAAACTTATTTCTATTGTCAACTCACTGCACACTAGATAAAGGAATATATACGTCAGACTAACACTGACAAGGTTCATTTCAAGGAAAGCCTCAAATATACATTTGACAAAGAAACTAAAAATAAAAAAAACTCACCACATGCATCTCAGTTTCAAAGGTGTGAGCTGAACTAGATCTTGAAATTCCTTTTAACTTAAATGGACATTTTCTACTTTCTCTTAGAGATGTAAATCACACACTCATGAGAATCTGCAGTCTTTTATAGTCTTCAGACTTTAAAAAAAACATTTACTATTCATGACATCTATTCATTTTAGGTGACATATTTTTTTCTCCCTTAAATTCCGCTTTTTACTGTCAGACTTGTAAGAGGGAGACCCTAACATGTTTCCTTTTGTGTAGTCACTAAAAACTTTCATGTTTTAATGCACAGAGACAGACGAATCCTTACAGACTTGGTGTCTGACCTGGTTTGTGTACAGTGCAGAGTCGATCCTCCTCGTCCGTCACCACAGTGAGCTGAGCGGTGGCCAGACTCTCCTCTTCAGACGTCGGGTCTACAATCAGGATGGAGCTGCACATTAAGGAGGCAAGGATTACAAACGACGCACGTAATTTATACACAATAAAGAACTAAAAAAAAAATGATCCACTTACTCATCAAAGACACAAAAAGAGGCACCAACTGGATGTCTCTGAATCTGCAGGCCACGTCTCTTTTCTAAATTGACCTCTGGCGTAGACGTCTCTGCGTTGACGGTGACCTCTGGGAGCTGTGCTGTGGGAAGCAGGAACCCGCTGACGTTAACATATTGATTAAAAAAAAAAACAGAACAAAGAATGTCTTGAGCAAAGCCTGTAATAATTGTATGTCCCTATAGCACATACTGTTCTTGAGAGCAGCCAGCAGGGCGATGATACAAGCATCCAACACGTTTCCATCGTAGTCCAGACACATCAGGTCGCAGTAAAGCACCCAGCAGAGCTGCAACACCGAGCCCACACAATCAGGACCAATGACCCAACAGTTAAAAACATCACCAACGTTTGATTGTTGATTTTACCTTTCCTCTGTCAATGCACAAGTCTTCTGTCTGTATCAAGTCAGAGCTGCAAAACCAGCGCAAAACATCTTAGTCAAAGCAGAAGGCATCAGATGAGTGAGCAGGCTTTAGAAGGAAAAAAATAAGAAATATGATTTTTTTTAAGTCTGCAGCACCTTTCGATGACATCAGCGATGAACTGACTGGCAGCCTGAGCTTGTTCTCCCGGCGGACCTGGCCGGAATCGAGAGGAACAGAGAGGGGGCAGGTCCACATTTGGTACTAACAAGAACAGAAAGAGGACTGCAGTTAGTATTTGTTTGGATTCTCACTCATCCTGAGGTCCATGTAAAAACATAGACAGTAGATATTGTAATCACTTGATGCCGATACAGCTACAACAGTATTATGATACTTCCCTAACAACTGAACATGACATGATACAAATGGAATAAAATTAGATACAATAAAACATGATTAAAAAAAAAAAGACAAGGAATAGTTGTGCTGGTAAGAAAAAATGTTCAACTACCATTTAAAAGTGGACATGTTTTTTCTTAATTATCACTCAATAACTTTATTTGGTCTAATTATGAGCAGAATAATGTCTACATCATGAACCTCTACCGCTATTTAACCTCATTAAAATGATTCTAACGTTGAGTCACAATTAGAAAATGTCTGGAAATTTGGGCTTTTTCACTTCCACTGTACTTTAATTACATTTTAATTCAGCAATTTAATAATCAAAATTGTTTCCTAGACATGTAGACCTGCTTAAACAAAGTAAACACTTCCAGCTGTGGCCAAACATTACATAACTAATAATATTTGAACCATGTAAATTCCATAATAACAGAAACAAGATAGAGAGGAACAATACAATGTCATTAGCTTTAACTCCACATCTGAAACATGGCTACTGTTCTTACCAATGTAACCTTTCCCCGGTGCCTCTACTGTAGGGTTTGCCAGCTCCTGCACATGAGGGGACACAAGAAATCAATAACATTTTGTTTACCCGGGTCAGATAAATTGAAATAGAGATTTTAACCCTTGGTTTAATTTACCGCTTTTATCCCACAGATGACTGTTGTGTTTCCAAGCTTAACCAGGGCCGAGCCATCTGCTGTGGATATGGATCCTGAACAGAGCAAGACACACAAATGACCCCACATAGACTCAAGACAAAACCTGCAACATATCATTAATATACTATAAATCAGGGATGGGCAACTTTGGTGACAGCAAGGGCCACATTCATTTAATTCTCACTGCCAGAGGGCCACATTAAACGATTATGTCTCAAATTAACTCAACATATACCAGTGATCAGATATTATTATTATTATGGACATATTTCTGGGTTTCATGATTTCATGGCAGATTTCATCATGTTTTTCTTCATGTTTCCAATTAATTGATGTGTAAAAAATTAACCTGAGGGCCACGTTGAGGGTTGATGGGGGCCGCAGGTGGCCCCCGGGCCGCCAGTTGCCCACCCCTGCTATAAATAAAGGTGATTGCCGTTTCCTACCTATGTTTAGTGTTGTGGTTCTGAATTCTGACAGCTCACGTCCATCAGGCCGACAGTTTTCTTTCTGAAACGTTTAAATGTTAGTATGATTACACATTAATAATGACCTCTGACAGATGGAATAAACCAGATACTCAGCAGGAGTTTGTGTCAAGTAGCACTCACCAGAAAGCTTCTGTGGTACTCCAGAGGCTCAGCAGTCCTGAAAGTGTTTGAGGAAGGCAGAAAGAGGACCAAAGAACACAGGTACTGACTGTTAGTTTTCAGCAGAGGGACAGTAAACACAATCTCAGAGGAATATTTATGTTAAACAAAACCAGCAGTAAGGACCAACATGAAACATAGCAACCATAAATCATGGTGTTGATTTATGGAACAGCTGCAGTGATGAAATGAAAACATGTAAAACATTAGGACAGTTTTTAAACACATTTTCAAGAATAACATATTTAACAAATATAAAATTGAGCAGTCAATGGGGAACATTGAATCAATGTGAGTTGTAAGGTCTGCACCGTCTACCAGTTAATGTGTGTAATACATTACATCTGTTGCTTCGTTATCTGTATTATTCGACTTTATTTTTTGAAAGCTTAGTCTTGGATTAATTTATTAAGCTAAAAAGATAAAAAGGGGTAAGGACTGGATAAGTTATTTAACTTCATCCTTACACCCTTTTCCAACATGGACTGGTGAAGGAAAAGTAATCGAGCCGCTACAGAAAGTATGTTTGACTGCTGTTTGCTTTGTTTGTCATGTATAAGAGCAGATTTAAGATGGTTTCAACGCTAAACTACAATAAAAAGGTGAGAATACGACTTAAAACAAGGTATTATTATTTAAGAGATTAAGTTTTCTCAGTCTTACTTGAAACCAGCCGCCATGATGTTTTGATTAACCACGTGGGTTGGGTCTACGCACTACGGTGGCCGATAGGAAGAGGCAGCCGGGTAAAAAAAAGAGAAGCGAAACTGATATACGAGTAAACGTTCACCTAAATAGTTTCCACTGTTTTTTTTAACTTTACCATGGTATGTAAATAATGTGTTTTTACTTTGTATTTGTCTACGAGAAAGGTATAACCAGGATTCTTTAAATTACTATTTTATGAGGATTATTATTTGAGTTTGTTTTTTAACTTCATATTTTGTTGTTTTCCTGCAGACTAAACATACCAGCGTTTATTACAGACATATTCACGACAGCTTCCTGAACTGAGAGAAGTCAATTAAAACCTTATTCAAATGAAACGCTGATTTTGATTAAGTACCGTACAGCTTTAAAGATTTATTTTACTTTATTTTCAAATAGTATTTCATTTGAGGGTTTATGACTTTAAGCTTAGTTGTTAAAAAATAAATTAATGTACTGATCACTTTATTATAGTGTCATTATACTTCCTACAAAGCATTAAAAAAAAAATAATAATAATAATAGTGTTTTATGGAACAGAAGTGAAATAGGATAGGATAATACTTTATTGATCCCCAGAGGGGAAGTTCGGGCGTTACAGCAGCACAGACAAGAAAGCTCAAAATACACATTAAACAGAATAGATAAGATAAATAAAAATAATAACATTTAAATAAAAATAAAAATAAAAATAAAAACGGGGTATATACAGTACAAAATGAATGATGAAGTTAACTGGGGGGGAATTGAGAATTAAGACAGTATTTGCAGAGAATGACAAGATAAAGTGACAAGTGATTAAAGTGACTTGGTATGATAAATAGCAGCAAGTCATGCAAACAGCAGAGAAGAAGAGAGGCAGTGTTGTACCACAGTAATGCAGAGATAGAGATAGAAATAGATCTGTTTGTGCTACAAGGAAGTTTCAAAGAAGTTTTTTTTTACACTTGAAATCCTGATTTATTTATTTTTTAATGTAAAATTGTATTGCACATTTAGGCTTTAAATGCCTCCATTACACGAAGGAGACTCATCTATCAACCTATCAACAGACCTTCAAAGTTTCCAGTTATCAACATTGTCCACTAGGGGGCAGTGTCTGTGTCACTGAGGCCTCACAGCGCTGCTCGGTGTCCTCTTGCCTCAAACTGATGATGTGTCTACAAACATCACTTCACTTCCGCGTCGCCGTTGTGTTCAGCTGTGATTGGAAGTGGAGTTCACTCAGCTTTTTCCCCCCAACCTGAGTTATGGAAATACACTCTTTCTTATTGAGTTGATTCAACTTGTAAATCTCATATGAGCGTGTATCTTCTTGTATTTTCTGGAAAAGTCTGGAGTGTCGACACGAAGCAAAGCAGGAAAAAAGAAAGCTAGCATTTTAGCTTGCCCTTTTTTTTTTTTTTTTTTTGGGACAGGTGATCTGTGTCAGTGGCTGCAGGGTTACCTGTGGGAGATGGATTTTCTCTGTGAAATAGTTCAAGCCCTGGTCGCACTGGCAGCTCTATGTTTAATAGTGGTAAGTAGTTTAAATGTTGTGTTAACATAGATCTATTGCAGCCTGTTTTAGCAAAGGGGTTAACACTTGTAACGCAAATAAAAGCTGTCAAAATCTATTGAGTAACAACAACATTATCATTTAGAAACAGCTAAAGTGTGTGTTGCAGCGTGGAGTTTCTTCTACCTGTGTGTTTTGTTTTTTTTGCCATGCAAGGAGTTCCCAAGCAATGTATTACTGTAAAGACAAGATGTTAACTTTTAAGAGTTTCTTATTATCCATGGTTGATGAGTAACAGGTTTATACGTTTTTGTGTCCGGTTTGAGCCATAGAAATAACAGTGAATGTTCCTCTGCAACATTTTTTTTTTTTTAACTTAGTTTTTATTCATTTTTCTCATCAACAACAGTACAATATGAAAAATATATTTTATATAGTTACATTCGGATATTAAGCCAGCAGAAATAGATTACAAAAGGAAAGATACAAATCAAAATGTCCACTCCAAAGAATATACATATACACAATAATACACATAAACAAACAAGTACATACTTAAAATGTTCATAAAAGTAGAGGAGAAATTAAAATCATAAATAAAAGTTGTAATCATATAAGAAATAAATTCTAATCCACTCAAAGAAATCACGTGTCAAAGTGGAAGTGCGAAGTCAAACCCTCAGGGAAAAATGGTGCGTGGTCTTGGTCTGCGCCCCCAATTTAAACATCACTCTCTATTGCATTAGTAAAGCCAGTACAGGTCTCCGTCTTGTTGTGAAAGTTTATTTTTGGAGTCTCAATTGGTATGTGATTTGTTCCATTCGGTAAATGTCCCAAACTTTCTGGATCCATACATTGTAAGTGGGAGGTTCTGGTTTCAACCAGCGTATGGTGATGCACTTCAGGGCCGCTGTGAGTAAGATATTAAACAAGTACTTTTTGGCCCTGCCATTAAAGCTTTTTTGAAGATCTGACGTGCAGAAATAAACGACAAATTCTAACTAAAACTAAAATTCACACAGCTTTCGTCTTCTTCCTCTTAATAAGATAATTATCTGTGTGTTAAGAAACTCAAGAAAAAGTACCTTACAGCAAGAACAATAACAAGAGCACCACGCTCTCATTTCTGTCTTTTTAGGTGCTCGTAATCGCTCACGTCACTGCGAAGATGGTGAACCTGACACGCCACGAGAAAGAGAAGCATTTTCTTACAGCCACTGGAGAGAAGGAGCTTTTCCCAAGCTTACACGATCCCCACTCCAGAGAGCTCTCTGTGGTGATACCGGCCTACAACGAGGAGCTCCGAAGTGAGTGGATGAGGGAACACACACACACACACACACACACACACACACACACACACACACACACACACACACACACACACACACACACACACACACACACACACACACACACACACACACACACACACACACACACACACACACACACACACACACACACACACACACACACACACAAATTTAAGAAAAAAAGAAAAGGTAGACATTATATTTGAAGCCAGATGAAATTAAGCAATTTAATTTCATTACACTGCACAGTAAAAAAAATATATAGGATAGGCTTCATTACAAATGTGTGTTTGAAGGCCTAGTAGATTATGTTTGATGCGTAAGAGTCCTCAACCAGATACTTAAAAAGTTAACTCTGTGTTTTTCATCAACAAATGAAAATAATTCAATTAGCATACAAGTTGGTGCTTTCAACCCCCATAATCCTTTTCTCTGAGTCTTAATTTTACGCGGTCCCTGTGAATGTTACAGGTTTGATATGCGTTTGACTGTCATTGCAGTGCCTGTGATGCTCGAGGAAACTATGGAGTACTTGGAAAACAGACAGGTAAGTGCTTAAACTCTGTCAGTATCAGATGAAATTGTAATCCAAAAAATGATCTGCAAAGTGAAGCAGCTTTGTCATCCTCTGAAAGGTGATGCTTCTCTCAGCAAAGTTATTTTGGCTCGATAAGTTATACTCAAAAAGGGCCAGTAGGTGGCAGCATTCCATTGTTGTTGAACAAGTTCCTCTTGGTTTCCCCCCCCCCCCCCCCATACAGAAAGAGCAGCCCTCTTTTACCTATGAGGTCATTGTGGTTGATGATGGCAGCAAAGACAAAACCACAGAGGTGATCTTTTAACATCTTTTATTTTTGTGCAGTAGTATGTTACCAAAGGTTTTTAAATTGTGCTCTGCGTTGCTTTTGGTCGAGTTTCAAAGTCATGCCGATATCGAGCTGTTGTGGTTTTCTGCCAGGTTGCTATGCGGTACACCAGAGAGTACGGCGCAGACAAAGTGCGAGTCCTGACGCTGGTGAAGAATAGAGGGAAAGGAGGAGCTGTGAGGATGGTGAGACCGAAGACGTCAAATTACAGTAGGTCTGAATGCGGCACTAAAGCATCAACAGTTTGGAATTGACCCCTGTCTGTGTGTTTCTGTCTCTCTTAAAGGGAACTCTGAGCTCCAGAGGGAAACTCATTCTGATGGCAGATGCTGACGGAGCCACAAAATTTTCTGACCTGGACAAAGTGGAGGCTGGACTTCATGACCTCGACCCTAAACCAGTGCGAACACATTCCATGTTTTCGATACTTTTTCACAAACTTATATTACATGAAGGCTGCATGTGTAGTGTAATCTTTAAACACGTTTAAAACACATCTTTAACCATGCATTCTTGTCCATTTAGGAGAATATGGCAATTTCCTGTGGTTCCAGAGCTCACCTGGAGCAAGACTCTGTAGCTCAGGTACTTCGTCTGTTGTAGACTTGTCTCTTTGTCGTTCTAACCATTAAATAACACTGTTCACTGTTGTTGTGTTTTGCAGAGATCTACGTTTCGCACATTCCTGATGTATGGATTTCACTTCCTGGTGTGGTTCTTTTGTGTGAGAGGGGTCAAGGACACACAGTGTGGGTTTAAGCTTTTCACACGTGAGGCTGCCCTCAAGACCTTCTCCTCGCTCCACGTAGAGCGATGGTAAGTCGTCGCACTCCATCCTATATTCACTGAAGCCATCATGTGCCTGATGTTAAGAGTAATAACAAGGCATAAAACATTTTAATACTATCGAAAAAGTGACGGTTTTGGAGTGGAGAGACCAGTTAAAACAACCAGTTTCTAGAATTATAACCTGCAACCTGACCCAGCTGTGTTCAATAGAGAGGCCTACCGGTAATTCAACTTCAAGTTAGGTTCAAGCATGACAAAAAGTGAAGATGTCCATCAAGCCCATCCACACAGCCCAAAGAAGAAGCCTGTGTGGATATATCATGGGTGGATAGGGGCTTTACATTTTTCTGATGAAGGTTGTTGTTACGAACAACCTTCATCAGAGAAATTTTGGGAGGAAAAAAAAAATGTCTGCAAATTTACTTTTTGACAACAAAAAGAAGCTTAACTTCTTGAACGTAGCTGCTGTAGAAACCATGATTGCCTTGCCTAAAAATGTGACTTCTGTGTGATTTTTTTTTTTGATTTTTTTTTTTTTTTTTTTTTGGAATTTCTGTCGGGAACATCATAATTAAAAAAAAAAAAGGTCAGCAAACACTTCTGCATCAGATATTTGATAATAGATTTTAGTTTGACTGTTTTCAATATTTGGTGCCATCGACAGGTTTAGATCATTACCAAATATGTCCTGATGTTCCGCACCCAGCCACAGTGACCAGCAGCAGTGTGATTTAGTAGCCGCAATAAAACGTGAATGTTAATGCAACTTTTGAACATCTGCTGTGCACATGTATCCCTCTTGTCACAGGGCTTTTGATGTGGAGCTTTTGTATATCGCCCAGTGTTGTAAAATCCCCATAGCAGAGGTGGCCGTCAACTGGACTGAAATAGAAGGTAGGTTTCTGTAGAATATGTGGATGTATGTCGTCCTACTATGCAGCCGATCAGCGGGGGCCATAAATATATTTATTTGATGTTTTTGCAAGTTTTGGCTCAGGGTGATTGTACCGATTGCTAATTGAGTTTTGAGTTGTTTATTAGGCTTTATGTTTGTTGATTTTATTCTCTGTTTTGTTTGACTGATTCATTTGTTCATTTGTGTCTTGAATTTATTTCTGTTTCCATCAAATTTGCCAGACATCCTTTAAACTACCTAACTACTTGTTATGATCATACTGATTCCTGCTAGAGTTATTACTTGGCCCTGTCAGTGTAAATGAACTGTATATTTTTCATTATATTTCCGATAAACGCTTGACTTGAGAATAAACCGTCTGTGCGTCTGCTCTGCCAGGGTCCAAACTAATCCCGTTTTGGAGCTGGTTGCAGATGGGAATAGACCTGATCTTCATTCGCCTGCGTTACATCACAGGAGCCTGGAAGCTGCAGTCGCCTCAAAAGACAGACTAGCCAATCAGACAAGCCCAGGTGTCATAGAGGCAGCCTATGATCAATCACATCATCATACAATCCTTTGTATGAGGTGGGATTAACGGCTGTGTCCGTCATTTCCTGTAATCAAGAGGAAAGTTCAGTACTTCACTTTTTTTTTTTTTTTCTTCAGACGTTTTTCTATTCAGACGTCATCAGATGTGAAGGAATGACACAGTTGTGAGCTCTTGGATGTCCTGCCTTTTTTTTTTTTTATTATTATCGGGTTCTGGCTTGTGATGGCCGTTGTTACAAGCACATTTCTGTTGTCACGGTAACAGAATGTCTCTATGACTGATCTGTGTACTAAGTTACTCAACCTTTATTTTGTGGCCAATCAGCTGTGAGTGAGAAAGACTTGTATTGAAAAGTGAAGGATCTGAGAATCAGTGTGTAATGGTTGACTGGTACAATGAATGTTATATTAGATTTAAAAAAGGGAGGGATTGTATATTTGAGGAGGTATGGGGTAATGGGCAGGATGACTTGAACCAAAATAAAAACAATACATACATCATTTATGATTTCAATACGGTTCATTTACTAACCGAAACTAGTCAATCGACCGTAAGTCCATCTGCAATTATTTTGATCACTGATTCTTTGAGTTGTCTTTTGATGATTGCAGGTACCCAAATATCTCAGTTTGTCTTCTTTTGTTCCTGTATTTTACATATTTGGTAAGTATTTGGATACTAGGTTAGTCAGGGAAAAAAAAAACATTAAATGTTACATTAACCATGAGCTCTCTGATATAGTATTTACCTACAGATTTCAGATGTTTTAAGAACAAAAAATGAAGTAATCTAGAAAAAGTAAGACATGTTAGAGAGAAAATATTAATAAGCAGTCACAGATATTCTTACATTATAAAAAGAACAAATAGAAGTTATAAGTGTCTAGCCTCTCTGAGCCTTCAATGGAGGATGTTGCTGGAAAGCCATGCAGCGAACTTCATGTATTTCCACCTTGATCTAGGAAGAGCCAAACATATATTTTAATCCCTGCACCAGAGCTCTTCAACTGTGCAGAAGGAGTAGCTTGCAATGTTACTTGGTTGTAAAAAAAAAAAAAAACAGACTAAACCGGTTTATTTATGATGGAACCCAAATTTTCAATAGGGTTCAGCATAAGTGAAACGATTTTTACACTTTTATGCAAACCTAAATCTGTTAATGTAGTGTTTCTTACAGTGCTGGTTATGATAATGCTAAACACAACATGCACACTGTTCACACAAAATGCACATTTTGTGCGCTCATCCTATCTGTCACATATTAGACTTCTGTAGAATTTGACTCCACTTCATTTTCTTAAAAGCTACTACAGTTGAAATCTCTAGAGATGAAGTGTAATTATGAAAATGGGCTGCATAATGATTTTTTTAGTATTTCCTCCACAGATGAAAATGGGAATACCCTGGATTACTTTATATGATTTCCAAATTATTCAACCCAGACACCCTCTTGTAAATTATCTGTACAGCTTTTATTTTTATTTTTTTTATAGTGATCTGACTAAATGAAGTTCTTTTTACTGCTGCTTTCTTATTCAAGCCTGAGGTCTGGGGCTCTGATGCGGATGTCTCGGAGCCCCGGGGAGCGCATCCTGTTTGTGCTCTGCCTGTCTATCTTTCTGTCTGTGGCCAGACAAGACACAGACGATTTATCACAGTCGCTCTTTTTTCATTTCCTGTCCCAGAAGTCAGATCTGAAGTCAAATTGACAACTAGGTTATGTTCTTAGGCTAATTGACCTGAGTTCTGCCATTCAGTGTGGAGTTTCAATTTCAATTTATGCCGAAGTAGAATTGCATGACATGACCCCAAACAATAATTTGAAGCACATCTAAAGCGATCAAGTGGCTGTTTTCCTCTCGTGTTGATTTCTAAAGCTTGAACTAACAGTTGCTTCCCTCGTGTCATCCTCCTCGCGGCTTCCCTGTGGGTCCCGGGGCCAGGTTTACGACGCCCCTCGATCTACTAGACCCCCCCCCCCCCCCCCCCCAGACCTATTTAGAATCGCATCAACAGTATCCTGGTGGGGCATTTTGATGATGCACCTGGCAGTGAAAATGAAGAGAAAAAACAACAACATTTTGACACTGTCCACGGAGTAGTTTCACTGTTGGGAGTATTGTTACGTTCCGCTGCAGTAAACTGAAAATGTCAAACTTGTAGACTCAGTGTCGCCAGCCGGGTTTGCGTCATTAACTGGACCAGTCAAGGCACTGCCGATGAGAGATCGTGTCCATCCGCAATGGAAAAAAAAAACTCCCTCTGTATCGCCCCCAACAATGAATGACGAAACAAACTCAGGATATAAAGAAAGATGTACCGTTCGGGTTTAATATGAGGTGGATAGTCTCTTCTTCATGTTTGGGATACAGGTGCATTGCGCGCGTAAAAACTGGAATAATGGCCGTTTTTTTACAATCTTTCCTAAACAAACATAAAATACTGACTGTAAAACTTTGTTTAACTAGGCTCGTAGCACTTTATCTACTGTATACACGACTGGCAACAAGATACAACACACGTAAGCATTAAATTAATACTTTTTTTTAAAATAATAATTAATAGTCTCCAAAAGAACCACATCACAGACATGTCACTTCTTAAATGATACAGGTGTTAAAATAAAATGCAGAACGCTTTAAGACACTGAAGTTTGTGTCCTGTGTGGATACAAGTCAATCATTTGAAAAAAAAAAAAAAAGAAACAGGTGTGATTGCTTTTCTACCGGTCTCTGTCAGTTACAGCCAGCTTTCCCTGTCTGACTGGCAAGACTAAGCACAGCTCAGGTGGGAGCAGGGTGGGACGCACAGACACGCACGCCTGCCTCTGCGGGGCCTGACTGTGAAATCTTTGAAATCCTGCTGAAGTTCCAGGAGAGGGAGGCGGAGGGATCTCACATGCAGGCGCTGCGGTTCCAGCCAGGCTGACGCCGCCGAGGCTGTGTGGCGCTCGGCTGGAGGAGCGGAGGCTCCGGGGCTCTTCAAACCTGCGTAAAGTCCTCCACATAACGCTACGATAATACAGGAAGCACTTTTTTTTTTACCTTCACAATAAGAGCTGTAACAATCAATGTAGGGCTATGAGATCCGTGCAGTGGAATTATTTGGCCATTTTTGTTCACATTGAGCTATTGCTATATCATCACACTGCACATTGACTGTAGAGCTTCCCCTTAAGTGCTTGTTAAGGGGAAATATCTTCATATACTAAGCTCGATAACGTTTGTTTAGGCAAACAATGAGACATTGTCATCCAGTAAGGCGTACACATTAGCTTGTCATTGCAGGAAACTTTAAACTGTGGCGTAATGAATGGCTTGAGCATCCCTACTTCAGGTGGGAGGATTATCCCTTTGGCTGCATCTTGCGAAGCATATTTGTAAACAACGCTTTTATTTTGAAGCTCGGAACTGGATGCATTATTCATTAGGCTGGCTTGACACCTCAACGCCAATACACGCTCGCAGACACATCACACACACACACACACACACACACACACACACACACACACACACACACACACAGACACACACCTTGGCTTGAACCTCTACTCACTGGCTGCGAAGCATCGACACGCACGAGGCTGTCTGCGATGCACTTGTTATCACAACAGAGGTAAGAAATGTAACCATGATATTCCTCCAGAAAATGATTTAGAACTTTTTTTTGTTGTTGATGATTTGTTGCTTGGTTATATATTCAAGGAAGGTTTTGTTTCGTTCTCGCAATTTTTTTTTTTTTTAACTCAAAATGCGCTTTTGGGCAACTTTTTGAAGATTTGTTCTGTTATTGTCATATTAACATGTGTGTTTAGACTGTAATCATAACATAGTTACCTGAAAGATCAATGCCTTATCAATAAATATATCTCAGACTAAGCTTACTATTAAAAAAAAAAAAAAAACTTGAGAAAATTATAAATACAGTACTAGGTTGTAATAAATGTCCCTACTTACTTGTTTTACCCGTGTTTACTTGGATTTTTTGTGGAATTATGACAATAATGAATTTACAAGTCAAACTTCTGATCGCAGGTTTTATAGCCTACACGGTTTGTGTTTGCATGTAAGGACACAGCAGGTTTTGTATCAGCGCAATGATTCCTAGTTGTATGCATAGTAGAAGGAAGCTGGCGTGTTTACTTTTTTGGGGCAGGGGTGTCCTGGTGATAAAGCATTAGGTAATTAGCCTATCTGAGCCTGCAGACTGAGTGACGCCAGGCTCCATAGTAAAGCAGCAGCGGTGGACTGATGCCGCATTGAGCTCGTACGCTTTTGCTGTCATTGTAAACCCCAGCTGTCTGTTTGTGTGCAGGGAACCAGGGTTGGTCACATAGAACAGAATGTAGGCATGCTGATTCATACTCCATTTTTACCGGTGAGCAATCTTTTTGAAAAGTACCTGATTTAATGTTTATTTGTTGTGTAGCCTATTGTAGAATGAAATGAGAATGGACATCTTTTTTTTTTTTTTTTTTTGAACATAAATGGGCCGAACATCATTTAAAGCCCTACCACAGAAGTTTAAAAAAGGAGATCATGTAAAAACATAAACAGAAGAAATCTACTGTGTGCAAACTTGACTGTATGACATTTTGCGAAAACTTAATCAGTAAGATGCTGCTGCTGAAATAATGAGAAATGTACAGTAAGTGGTTGCCGGATTATAGTTGGGCTGTATAGTGAAGCTTATTTCTTAACATTATACCACGTTGTTTTAAGATGAGCAGAATGAAACAACTGCATAAAAAGGGAGAGCTCTCTCTCTCCCTCTGTCTGCATCCCTCCCTCCCCCTCCTTCTCCTCCTCCTGTCCTGTGATGTGTTCTGGCCAGACAGAATGGCTCCTGGGCGTCAGTGGCATGATCATAGAAACAGAGGCCAAAGAGGACATTCCTCATTGTTGGTGAATCTAGAAATGAGCCTGGCCATCTTGCCCTGCTCATTCTGAACACTTTTAGTACTTGCTTCATTTTCTTGACAGAAAATACTAACCTTGTTTTTGGAAGTATCAAGATCAGTCTGACCTATTATCCATGTGGAAATCCATCCCTTTGCCCAAATTGTTAAATATGAGTTGTTTATGTGGTGTTCAGTCTTTCATTTCACTCCAGACAGCACCTTGTTGACACAGCCTGAATTCCCTTAAGAATTAAATCCTTTGGTTTTTCCTTCTGAAATTCTGAACTCTCTTTCTTTCTGTTTCAGCCAAATTAGCAGCTAATACCATCTCTCTCTGCTCTTGCCAGATGATTGAAACTTGACCTGGATCTGACTGTGCGAGGAACAACCTTCCCTGCTGTACACTTTGAATACAGAGCTACCGGATCCCATCCGAGCCAACACAAAAGGGAGAGTTCAACTCTTCATCCAGCCCTGCTTGGAAGTAACGCAACAACAACAAAAAACAACTCTATTTACAAAGACTTGTTGCGCTGCTTCTTTTATCGTCTACCTCTGCCCTGGCTTCTCATTATTTGCCTCCTCACTCCTGTCCTCCTGGGAACTTTTATCCCTTTAACATCACCCATCAGCTCATCTCGCCACCCATTTATCCATCTCATAATGAACTCGTCTGCCTCCATTACGTCCCTCTTCTCCTTCACCAGCCCGGCCGTGAAGCGTCTGCTTGGCTGGAAACAGGGAGATGAGGAGGAGAAGTGGGCAGAAAAGGCTGTGGACTCTCTAGTAAAGAAACTAAAGAAGAAGAAAGGGGCGATGGAGGAGCTGGAGAGAGCACTCAGCTGCCCTGGACAGCCTAGTGAGTATGACAGTGTTAAAGTAAAGTAGGTATATAGTCTAGTTTTTTTTTTTAACTCAAGCCAAAAGTGGGCTTGCATCCACACATTTATCTACTCTGTTTTCCTGTGAAAACGGGAAATTTCCAGTCATTTTCTTGTGATCTCTCACTTACTCATCAAGTATCCCCAGAGTTGCGGTAGCAAAAAAAACAAACATAGAAATAGGCTAGACTCATTGGGCAATGGCATTATGGCATGTCTGGTTTATGACAGTGACCAGCTTCTTTGGGTTCTTTTTCTAGATTGACAAAAAATGATCCTGTGATCACCAGAAAACAATTTATTTTATCTCGACATTATGAGATACATTTATATATTGTTACAGGAAAACCAGCCTTGTTATCCCGAGATAACAAAAAAAAGAAAGAATAAGAAAACTACAACAACAAAAAATGGAGTAAATACAATGTGCTGTTCCTTAAGCTATTTGCTTAGTTTACTGTGTTGGTGGTCACAGGACAAAACTGACTCTTTAAATGTAATGAAAATAGCGGACCTGCTCAAAAGTTTTGCTCTAGGTTTGGGATGGAGTCCATGGTTGGAGATACCAGGGGAGGGGAGGGTATTTTTTTTCCACTAGAATGCCACTGTGACATCACAAGGAGAGCAAATTTGAAACGGAGCATTTTTCTCTGTGTTGTAAGACTTATGCAGACCACAAACAAAGGACTGGATGGGCTTATTTCACATTTTGTGGGTCGACAGACACTCAGGTTATCCAAATATATGTTCAAATCACTGTAACAGTGGATTTTTCATAATATGTACCCTTTAAGGGGATTTTCTTTTGGACTTCTGTTTTAAAAGTGCACAAGATATAGTAAGTGTATTTTAAAAACTGTAGAAAAGACAATACAAAATCCTTATCTGTGTCAGATCAAACTTTTGTATGACAACCTCTGCTGTTTGCTTTTTGCGTTTTCAGGCAAGTGCGTGACAATTCCCCGCTCTCTGGACGGCAGGCTTCAGGTGTCACACAGGAAGGGTCTGCCTCACGTCATCTACTGCAGGGTGTGGCGCTGGCCCGACCTGCAGTCCCACCACGAGCTGAAGGCCCTGGAGTGCTGCGAGTTCCCCTTCGGCTCTAAGCAGAAGGACATCTGTGTCAACCCGTACCACTACAGACGCGTGGAGACCCCAGGTACAAACTTAATCAGGGAACATCTTCTGAATCTGATGTAAGAAAAAAATGAGGTTATTGCTGGATTTTAATATCATAACAGCAAAGCTTTTGTGGGCTGCAGATCATGTGATCTAATAGTGTTCCCAAGCCGAAAGGATTTGCAGTAATATGATCTTTTATAACCGTATCTGGCTCGGGCTCTCTCTTACTTTGTCCACCTTTTTCTCTTCCCTTTTTTCTTTTCTGCTCCCAGTGCTGCCACCCGTTCTGGTCCCCCGCCACAGCGAGTTCAACCCTCAGCACAGTCTACTGGCAAAGTTCAGGAACGCCTCCCTGCACAGCGAGCCCCTGATGCCCCAAAACGCCACCTATCCAGACTCCTTCCCTCCGCTGCCCTGCCCCTCCTTCTCCTCCTCTCCTTCCTCCTCCCTCACCCAGTCTCCCACCACGCAGAGTTACCCCAACTCCCCCAACAGCTCTGCGGAGCCCAGCAGTCCCTACCACATCACAGGTAAGGATTTCATTGTCATCTATGTATCTCAAATTGAACAAACTAATTTGAGTATAATTAAGCAGCCATCGCTGAGAAGAACATCGTGTTATATTTAGGTTTGTAGTGAACATGTTTTCATCTGTACACCAGCCAACAGTCCAAAGACACTTCAGGGAAAAATATGGAATTAAAAAGGTGCTCAATATAATCGTCCAACACATCACTGATCTGAATAAACTGAGGCCCTTTAACTGAAACACATCAAATTGGCATTTTTACACCGGCTGCTGCAGAATCTAATTTATACACGATAGCATAGTCTCTCAGTGTTACTTTCCACATTTGTACTCTTACTGTGATTTGTAAATTTCCTTTTCCAGCTGAGACGCCCCCTCCTCCGTACAGCATGATGGAGACGAGCCCTAAAGAGGATGTGAAGTCCAGCAACTCCACAGAGACCCTCAAACTCACGTTCTCCGCCCCGCACAGAGGTAAAGTTAACACAAGAAGACAGAAATTGCCGATTCAAATTTGACCAAAACAGTCCACTGACAGCATTTTCTCCCTCTGGCACTGAAAGTTGCTAGATTACAAAAGTTGAATTGTGGCACTTCCACTTTTCTTGGTCGTGACCGTTAAGTCTGCTCTTCATGTCTAGTATTTGCCAATTTTACAAAGAAAATGTAAAACATTTAGTAAGAAATGTGTCCTGGCATTAGCAGCAGAATGGGATATTGCACCCTAAAAAAAAAGTCTGGGTGCATGAGGTAAATGAGGAAAAGACTGCAAGAGTATGACTGACTGGTCTAAGAGTGGTGAAAGTCCTTCACTTCTTTTTTATGGTCAGTGAAGGAAAGATGTCATCGACTAGCACAACGTGTTCCAAAAGCTGAACTAATTTAACTAAGAACGCCGTGAGCCCTGTGATCAAAACACAGCCGTCACTGAGGAAGTTTCTGCACTTATGATGCTGAGTGCTGTAAGTGCTGAAGTGCATTGGTTTTTTAAATGGAAAAACATCACTGCAAAACAAATGGATAAAAAAATATGTCAGCTTAGTTAGCTCAGTTTGCTGTAACTCCAGCTAACTCCTATCACTCATAAAACAACTCTTTTTCAGTGTCATTTCTTTGAAATATAAATATACACAGGCATGGACAGACAATAAAACATTTGAGTAAATAAAAATGTGCAGAACGGATAATGTTGAAGAAGGTGGAGTGGGATAACAACAGACACAAAATAAATGACACCTACCTTTTTCCACAGAGGAACTGTATCGTAAAATTGTTTTTTAAGTACCACAGAGGAAGAAAAAAAAAAGCAGTGACTCTGAGCCAAAATATAAACCATAACCAGGTACATTTAGTTTCATTATGACAACAAGTTTGCATAAAGAGATAAATGTGCATATGACTGTTACAGGAGTAGTAGTCTACTGTATATACAATGAGATGACCAATGTGACATCTTGTGTCTTTGTGATGAGAAATCTTTTGAGCAAATTCTGTTTTTGTGTACCTGTTTAGATTTACGGCCGGTATGTTACGAGGAACCCGAGTACTGGTGTTCCATAGCGTACTATGAGCTCAACAACCGGGTGGGGGAGACTTTCCACGCGTCATCCCGCAGCCTCTTAGTGGACGGCTTCACAGACCCGTCCAACAACAAGAACCGCTTCTGCCTCGGCCTGCTGTCCAACGTGAACCGCAACTCCACCATCGAGCACACACGCAGGCACATAGGCAAAGGTAGGTGGACTCATAATTATTTCATGTTTTTTGATACTGCACTGTACTCTTCATGCATTGAGAGTAAGTAAGGTTTAGATAAGGTAAGCAAGGTTTAAGGTTTAAGTAAGGTTAAGGTTTCTCTAAAACACAGAACTGGTCATATGATGCTGAGTGTAAGCTTGGGTCTTTTTAAACAAACAAATCACTTCAGGCTCCTTGCACAGCTGATCGCTGACCAAATATTTGTTTCTCGTGATGAAAAAAAAGTGAAGAACCCAGCCTTTGTTGTTGAGATATCAAGCATCTCCTGGATAGACGGTGCACTGTTAGAATGTGTACGTTTTGGAAGGATAGTAGTTCAACAAAAGGGAAAGAATTAAGAGCCACTACCGTTACTATTCAGACACCTGTGTCTTATGAGCATAGAGGCCCCAGTGTTTGTCCTCTGTCAGAAAAATATGTTTTTAAGGTTGTATTCAAAGCAGACATTGAGTATGTTTTTTCGATTAGAGGGCAGAGTTGGCACTCTACTCTCTTGACATGTTGATGTGATCTGAGTTTTCAAAACTTGTTTCACATCTTTTACTCGTGTTATTTAGAAAAAAAAATACTGGAAAATGAAGAAGTGCCTAAATAAAACGTTTACTGAAATGAGGGTAAAATACATGTTCTGAAATGTAGGCCTACTAACTGAACACACCTACTACTAAAAGTATCCCAAAGCTAACGGAACCTTGTGTCATAGTGAAACTATTACACTGAAATCCTTTAACTTGACACAAAACTTTGCTATATTAAAGAAATATACTGAAAATAACGAACATTAACTTTGGTGACAGGCATCACATTCATTAACTGCCTCTCCTCCACAGTCACGTTTCCCTCGTCTCTTGTCTGTTTTCTTTGAAATCATTATGGTCATGTTTCTTCTGTCATTTATGATGTAAACTGATGGATACAATCGGGTTTTTTTCTAATCCATTGAGGTTCAAATCAGTCTTGGCAGTCTGCTATGATGCTAAATCAAAGTAACTGATAATTTCACTGTAATGTCATAAAGTTAAGAGCCTGTTTTGAAAAGTAGAGAGTACGGATATTTGCTTTTAAACATATAATGGGAAAAAAGGAAAATAAAGAAGAATAAAGAAATACTCCAGAAAAATAAATATTCATAATATGGAAATGTAAAAAATCTCTACTTAAGTAGTGTATGATTTTATATCATCATACTTCCCAACTGTGGTTATGATTTTTAAAGTCATCATCATCATCTTTATTGGGGCGTTTTGATGTTCTTGTGTTTCAAATAAATGGGCCATGGAACAGGCCGGGGGGGGGGGGGGGGATCGTCTGTCTCTGTGTAGTTCTTTGTGCACTCAAAACAAACAAGATAAAAACTCAATGTTAAGAGTTGTGTTGGGAGTGAATTTGCAAGCCACAATAAGTAGTTACTTTTGGAAAAACCAAAAAATTCAAGTTGTCATTCACTTGTTCCTGACCTCTTTAAGACCATTTGATTTCCTCCTCCTCCCTCCCTCTCAGGTTTACACCTGTACTATGTCGGCGGTGAGGTGTACGCTGAGTGCTTGAGCGACAGCAGTATCTTCGTCCAGAGTCGTAACTGTAACTTCCAGCACGGCTTCCACGCCACCACAGTGTGCAAGATCCCCAGCGGCTGCAGCCTCAAGATCTTCAACAACCAGCTGTTTGCTCAGCTCCTCGCCCAGTCTGTTAACCACGGCTTTGAGGTCGTGTATGAGCTCACCAAGATGTGTACCATCCGCATGAGCTTTGTGAAGGTACGGAGCATTTTGTGCACCCAAAAACGAAAAGATGTAGCAACAGAGATGCAGTTTGGTAATCATCCTCTGGCTCGTATTTCTTCTCGATAGATCAAAGATTGTCACTGAAACTTGTTATTGTTAAAGCTTGATGCCCTGCTAAGCATGTCCTGTCCGATACTTTACATATGAAGGATTACACTGCTCACTTAGCATTTATTGGCGTCACAATGCAGCCATTTCCTCCACCGTCATGGGAAGATCAAATTCTGTTAATGTGCTTTCCAGGTTTCAAGTCGTATTTATGTAGGGAATCTTACAATTGTTATTATTCAACCATTCTTGGTGTGATAAACTGCTGGGACATTTGGCAATATTTCTGCTAAAACATATTCAATAACCCTTTTGCTACAATCAATCAACAGCTAATATTAGCATGCAACCAATTCCAAGCTTACATTACAGTTACTTTAGTAAGAAAGTGTTTCCTATTTTATCATGTAGCTCTATCGATCACTTAAATTAGCATTCAGCCACATCCTAGCAAACAGTAATATACGTTAGGAAGTGGCTAATAAGTAGCTAAAATTATAATCCAGATGTACACTCTTTACTGCCATTAGAGGAGAATGGCCACTTAGTGAATACAGATGTTTTTTGATGTCCTCTCCCCAGGGCTGGGGTGCTGAATACCACCGTCAAGACGTCACCAGCACCCCCTGCTGGATTGAGGTGCATCTGCATGGACCTCTGCAGTGGCTGGACAAGGTCCTCACACAGATGGGCTCCCCACACAACCCAATTTCTTCAGTGTCATAACATGAACTGTGTTTCCTGGTGCTTCACACAGGTGGCCATGTGGTCTGTATGTTTTGCCACATCCATTTTTTTCTGACCTATGGTCCCCTTCTTTGACCCCTTCAAATATATTTAAAAAAAATGTTATCAACTCCTTTTGAAACGTGATAGACTGAATGTTATTTAGCTAATTTAAAGCAAGTGTAGTGAAATGATTGTGTTCTTTATTTTGCTCCAGATAGACTATGATAAACTGTTTCTCATTTCTGTTATGATTCTGCACATTTTCTGCACTCCTTGATATGAAACATTGAGATTTATTTGTAGGTACTCAAAGACTTGTGTTACCTTGTGTTGTGTTATTATGATATAATGTATTGTATGTACATGTGTTGACTTACTGTACAAGTTGCTTTTTACTTGTTTTATTAAAGTTGTTTTGTCTTCTGGAATCTTCACCGTCACATTTGAGAAGACAAGCACCAGGTTGAATTTAAAAAAAAAATAAAAACAGTCAGAGAGGTTTTTCAATATTAGCATAATTCATTTACTCTCATTTTCACAGCAAGGAATATTCACTTCAACTTAGAGACACACAAACAACATACAGTACATAACTTTTCCCTGACACTTTTAAAACATAAACAGTTAGTATGACCTTTTATTCATTCCACCAAACACATAAGCCCCGTTTCCACCGCCAACTCAACCCTTAAGGTGTAAGCCGGATGGAGATAGCCGTACGTAATAGTGACAGTAAACAAAGGGCTACAATGGAGGACGTCCATTAGAGGTCAGCATCTCCAAGGTCACCCAGGGGAGCAGTGGAAAGTCCTGACATTTAATCAAACACAAAAAAAACAGCCTTGAAATTACTCTCAAAATCGAAGAGAGTAATTTGTGTTTGTCCTTTTTTTACCGCTGTCACACAGAAAGTGATGATTCTTTCAACCAATCAATAGACGGCAGTGTGTCTAGCTCCACCCTACAGGGTCGGAGCAGTACCGAACCGGACCCCTTGTTGGAAATGGGGCTATATTGTTACTTTTTCACATTATGTTTGTGCAACAGTCGATAAACTGAAAGTTTGTGATAAAAACATGTCCTGAAAGCCAGACTTGACTAAGGAGAGAGGCTACAGACAGCCACTAAAACAATTGTCATATGTAGCAAAAGTTCAAGAGAAGTCAGACAGGAAACACAGTGAAGATTAATAATTTGTTCAGCGAGATCAGCCTTAAAAAGTGTTCTCGAAGCAGTTCTAAAACGCAAAGAAAACAACAGCATGAACGGGTGTCAATGCAGTAAAATTCTAAAAAGATATATGTTAAAATAAAAGGGCTGGCTGGATTAAAGCAAAGGTTTTCCTAACCAGCACCAGACATGGTTTGAATACATGTCTGCTACTTCAAAACTTCCTGTTGATGAAGTTACATCGGTTCTACTGGTTCAGTCCACAAGTCTCTCTCTGTCTACACTATTGAATTATGCTCTGATGTTCTTCTGGGTTCCATGATTGTTATAAAAAAGTTACATTGACGTTTGGGCGTCAGCAGCCCTGGAACTGCTGCTGTGTTGATTGACTGCGGCCCTGTGAGGCCAGGAGCAGCTGCTGCTGCTGCAGGAAGCTGATCACCTCCGGACTCCTGAGCAGAGACTGAAAGGAAAATATTCAGAAGCATTTACACAAGAAAGACACCTGTTAATATATCAAAGCATTTAAAACAATACCACGTTGGTATACCATGGTACCATTTGAATTTTGAATTGTCTTTCTTTCATTACTTACCAGTCTTTTCTGGTTGAGAACCTGCTCTATCAAGGAGGGTCTGGCTGGTCTGTCTCCCATGGAACCAAGACGCTGTTTGTTCACTGACACAGGCCGTTCCTCTGAGTTTTCCTGGAGAGCATAAAGACATACACAACATATCAAATGTCAGTTTGATTATATATAAACTAAACCAAAGTTGGTCCAATGATGTCATAAAAAACAAATAAAAAAAGGCTGCAGAGCCTGTATGAGCTGTAGGGACTCTGAAGGGCTAAATAGAACAGAAACACAAGAACTCGAAGTCTACATGTTTTTTAAATGAATGCATCACTGCGTGAAAATGTTCCTGATGAACATAAAAAGAGGACACATAACTAAATCGTAATTTCAAAGTGGTGAGGAAAACCTTCAAATTGTGCATAAATATTGATCGAATTGAGGGAAAGACATTTCTGGTGCTAAAATGTTCTGGGTGAGACCTCCAGACCTCCTACAAAGATGTTTTTCAAATAGACTAAACTTGTCAGTGCAGTTTTTGTGCATTTAAAAAAACATGATACAGGGAAATAAGTTTGGTTGAACTGGTCAGTAACTTACAAATTTGTCTAAAGATCAGTATGAAAGAAATCTTGATTTTTGCCCCAAAAAAATTGTGATATGATATTTTTCCCACATCACCCTCCTCTACACAACATATCAAATGTCAGTGTTCTGTTTATGTAAAGGTTAGGTCAAGTCTAAAAGGGAAACCTACAAATTATAGTCCCTGTCAACGCTTCTCGGCTGTGGATCAGTTGGTAGAGTCGTCACCTCTCAACCGGAAGGTCGAGGGTTCAATCCCCAGCTGGCAACATGTCCGATGTGTCCTTGGGCAAGACACTTAATCCTGAATTGCTCCTGCTGCTTCAGTGGTGGTGTATGAATGGGATTAGTTACTTCTGATGGATGATACTACAAAGTGATCACTACCATCAGTGTGTGAATGGGTGTGACCTGCGGTGTAAAAACGCTTCGAGTAGTCGAAAGACTAGAAAAGCTCAAGTCCATTCTCTGTTAGCTGAGTTTACACCTCTCAAAACTCATTTCTTCTCAAAGTAGTAAACCCTACATGAACACATATTTACTGAAGGGGTTTGTGTTACATTTGTCCACTTCATGTTGACTTCAAATGAATGACCGTAGGTTTAAAAAAAAAAAAAATCACATAAACAAGCTTGGTCTTACATCAAGTTTGCCACTGGACATGGCCTGGTCACTCTTCTTCTTCTTGTACTTGTCTTTGTACATTTTGTTGCGGTGTTTCTTGCACATCCACGGCTTCCTCTGCTTGGCCACCTGTGTCGTGGTCTCCGTGCATCCCTCATAGGTGCACTGTTTGGGGGCGTTGTCGCCTTCCGACGTATCCTCGTCGTTCAGCTCCTCCGGGCTCGCCGCGCCGTCTCTGGGGTCTGAGGTGTCCAGGACGTCGCTCTCCTCGTCCGGGTCGTCCATGTCGTAGGAGGAGGCGTTGTTGTTGTTGTCCGGTTCCAGTGGCGTGTTCACATTTCGGCTGTCCACTACTCCGCTCTTATTCACGTAATACCTCTGTCCATCTTTAGTCAGCAGCAGGGTCGCATCTCTGTCTTTCGATGATGCTGAATTGTCATCTTCGCTCATGATTGCGGTAAACAAAACAAAAGAGCACACACCGGAGGCAGCAGCGCTACTTAGCTCAGCTCACGTTGGCAAAAAAGCAGCTTCACGTTGACACCTATAAACTATGATTAAAAAGGCGTTTTACCTGCTTTGAGAGGCTGGTGTGTCATCGATAGAACATGGCCTGCTACAGATTTGTGTTTTAAAATTTGCAGCGGTGATATTTCCAGGGATAAAAGGCGGTCACTGTGCGTGTAGCATTTCAATAACAGGGTGGGGGGTTCTTCTTCGGTGCTTTTGGTTTCATCATGTGGTAGAACGTCCCCTAGTGGTCAGAGTAAGACATACATGCGGATCATAACATGCTTTTCATTATGAAAACATAGAAGACAAGTATGGCAAAAAGGTTAATGTAGTGGCTATATGTCCAAAAAACAAAATCTAGATAAACTAATATCAAAAATAATCAAATGACCATTGATGCACCATGGGGATGTAATGTACGCAAAAGAAATCCATGCAAGAGCTGCGGTATTTTGCTGATTTATTTGAAGAAAAAAAAACAAAAGAACAAAGAAAATCGTGGCTCCCGCTGCCTCTCTTGCTCTGGTAAAAAAAACAATGGGCCCACCCAGGTGCATGCCTCTACCTGCCTCTTACTTATAATAATCACCTGTGCCCACAGTAAGATTAAGATTTACTTTATTGATCCCTGCAAGGGGAAATTTCTGTTTTTACACTCTGTAAGTCATGACACATGCGGAAACAGGATCCGATGGACATGCACTAATGGAGAGATGTCAGAGTGACGGAGTGGCCTACAGCGGGCGCTCTTGAGCTGATGGTGGGGAGGGGGTTTGGTGCCTTGCTCAAGGGCACCTTGGCAGTGCTCAGGAGGTGATCTGGCACCTCTCCAGCTACCAGACCAACTTCCATATTTGGTCCGCATCAGGACTTGAGCCGGCGACCCTCCAGCTCCCAACCCAAGTCCCTACAGACTGAGCTACCACCGCCCACAGTATTACCCAAATACCTAACAAAAATACTAATACAAAACTAAATTTATTAAACAAATAACTGGCAAAAAAGAAAACATTACCTAAAATCTTTTCTAAATCAAGAAAACGTGTAGAATAATTAAATAAACAACACCACCCAAATATTAGTAAACTAAATACAAAACTAATTCTAACCACAATTAAATAGCTCCAACAGTTGATTTCCTTTACTGAGTTACTCTTAATGAGCCACTACCAAGAATAAAGTTGCGTAGATAAATATTAATTTACATTCAATGTCATATTTTCACAAGAAGTAAAAGTAAACTAATTTAGTGATTTAAAGTAACGTAGGTTATTTAAATATGAATAAATAAATGTAATTATGGTAGTTTAATGTGCTTTAAGAAAATTGTCTGATTTAATTTGTTATGCATTTGAAACTGAAATCCAAGAATTTAAGATTAATGTAATTACTCATATTGTCTGATTACTAATCAACTTGAGTTCTACCTTTATCTGATTACTATTGTAAAGCACCTCTGACTCCAATCTCGATAATTATAGGCCAGTATCCAAATTGTCTTGTCTTGCAAAAATTATGGAATCCTTAATAAATGACCAGTTAAAAGATTTTCTTTCAGAACGAAAATCCTGAGTCCATATCAGTCAGGTTTTAGAACAGGGCACAGTACTGTTACTGCCATAACAAAGGTTGTTAATGACATTATCTCTGCTTTAGATAAAAGACAGCATTGCATGGCACTCTTTGTTGATTGAACTAAGGCATTTGATTGTGTGAATCATTCCCTGCTCCTGCAAAGGCTGTGTAATATTGGTTTCAGTGAAAATGCATGTAATTGGTCCAGGAGTTATCTCTCTGATAGACAACAGTCTGTAAAACTAAGAAGCTACTGTTCCGACCTTTTATCAGTAACAAAAGGTGTTCCACAAGGTTCAATTTTAGGCCCGGTTTTATTTACTGTATACATAAACAAACTGTGATGCCCATCTATATGCTGATGACACAGTTCTATATTGTGCGGCTAACTCTGTACATCTTGCAGCCGCAGCAGTCTTCTAATGTTCAGGATACCCTAAATGACCTGCAATTAGTCCTCAATGCTGACAAAACTAAATGTATGCTTTTCTCGAGAGCTACAGAAATGAACAAAAACGATATCATGATAGTTGCCAGAAATGGGCTAATGATTGAGAGAGTCACAGAATATAAATATCTGGGCATGTGGATTGATGAACGACTGACATTTAACTTCTACATTAATAATCTTAAAGGAAGACCCAGGCAAAAAATTGGTTATTTCTACAGGAATAAAATAGTTTTTCCAATGTTCTGTAGGAAGAGGGTTGTGGAGTCTCTTTTTATTACAGTCTTGGACTATGGCGATGTCATCTATAGGCATGCACCTGCCACAACGCTTAAATGTCTCTGTCTACCACTCTGTATTAAGATTTATTACAGGTGACCCCTATGATACACATCATTGTATCTTGTACAACAAGGTTGGATGGTCATCTCTAACAGAAATACATGATATGCACTGGCATCTTTTTATTTATAAAGCTCTCACAGAAAAATGACCCTCATACCTGTCAGAACTTATCCATCTTTCGACTGGGCATTACCAGACACGTTCCTCAAGACGTTTACTGTTGAATGTTCCTCGAGTCAGATTGGAACTAGGATAATCTGCTTTTTCTTATTCTGCACCAGACTCTTGGAACAACATACAGCATCTTCTTGAGGGAAATTAACTTTTACCTTTTGGGCATTTTAGAAACATGATTTTAAGCCTCCCAACCTCTGTTTGTAACTGTTTTACATAAGTGTGTTTATTTATTGCAGTTTTGTACTCGCTTAATTATCTTAGTACATTTTAGCCTTTTTTAGACTGATTTTAGCAGTCTTGTATTATCTGTCCCCTGTTTTTCTTTTTGATTTAATGTCTGTTTTCTAATTCTTTCTGTAATGACTCGATGTCATTGTAAATGAGGGTTGCCCCTCAATGATCTTTCGAGTATAAATAAAGGTTGAATTGAATATAAAGGAGGAAAAAAGAAAACGGGTAAATTGAGTGATGTAGTCAGGTCACATGGAGTTTTCACCCAAGCACAGAAGCGCAATATAGGGTCTTTGGTGGATTTTTAACAGATATCTTTATGCTCTTTCTTCAAAAGACAATCAATTGCCAAGCATCTAAATGATCCATTATATTTTACTGGTTCCTGCATCCTTAATTTTCCTTTCTGTTGTCATTTATTAAAGGAAGTCTGTTTTTTATTACTGACTTGGGGGAAAAGAGCAATTTAAAGACACCACTATTCCCCATGTATCACAGTCTTTGCAATGGCCTGGGTCAAGTTTACACAGAAAGAGGTAAGACCTTACACTGATGCTATTGCAAAGAACAATAACAAGAAATAAAACTGCCCTGATCTGAGAATATGGCTGATATAATCTAATAATCTGATATAATATTTACTTTGTAACAGAAAGAACACTGCATGTAATGCCACATGCAATTTCTCAGCAATATTATGCTGATGTAACTTTATGTGGTGAAGCCAATATATATTTACAGACAAAAGGTTGCATTTTAAATTCAACATCTCTATTCCACATTCATGTTGGATTCATATCAATTAACCCTCCACACCATTGCCACTCAGCAGATAATTATTGACAAGAGCAACAAAAAACGTTGGAAGGATGATGCACATTGATGTGATTCATGTGATATTTTTACTGAGAAATTACAGTCAGATACATCTGTATGCAACAAAAGCAGGGGTTTCTGGTTCATGAATGTTGACCCAAATAATTTGTGTACTGAATGTCAGCAAAGTGCTCTAGTTTTGCAGCACAAGGACTGCAGAGCCACTGAATAGAACAGACTTAAGTTTGAATTTACTTCTTTTTTTTTAACATCAAGCACTTGAAAAGACACAGACAATTTTGCAATGTATTTTAATTATTACTATAAGTACTGATAGACCATTGTTGAACAGAGGTACAGGTATTGATATTGCAACGGACTAAAATACTGTGATGCAGCTATGAGAGCACTTTGGTAAAACCCATGTGCCCATGTGCTGGAGCAAGAGTGGATTTCAATCGAACAACAAATTCATACTGATCCGGTCAATATGGTGGCACATAACTGTTTTTGTGTGGTGATGAGCATTGTACAGAAAGTCACAGACAAGTGACGACTGCAGGGAGATCATCTGTTAAAAAAAAAAAAAAAAACTTCAATCAATCCTTGGGTGTCTCTTTTTTTATTCACATCAGTAACTTGAATTCTTTATTGGTTGCTTTTTCAAAGGTAGTAGAATTGTTTCCAGTGTCCAACAAGAAGCAAATATGGCGTTGTTTGTAGATTCTTTCTGTCCAGGTCTTAATAGTCTTGTTCAACTACATTGTTTCATATCAACTTGATGATCTCCTCTAGATTTTTTTTTTCTTGCTGAATGACTGAAACACATGTTTGACTTTTTCCACTGTTCTATTAGACTAAGTACTAGTAAAGAAATATACTGTATTGTGGACTATCAAAATAAATAAAGTTATGTTATTTACATAACATATAAACAACACTTCATCACAAAACTGTTTTTTTTTTTAATAAGAATTGGCTACTGTAAGTTTGTCATGCTTTCATCTGAATAAATGAAGCCATGAATGAGGTTGTACAGAGCTGAAATCAATATTCTTCCACCCTTCAAACTTCACTGTTTTTCCAAGAGTGCTGCTGGTTCTCTGACATCGATGCTTTCCGTCTCTTGGACCTGTTCAACTGCACCTAGACTGCAGTACTTTGTGCAAAAAGGCAGCCCTCGTACACTGTGAATTGTGTACATTTACCACCAAAAATATCGCAACAACTACACCTTTCATCACTTCTGGAATATGTGCAGGACATATGCTTTTAGTGTTGGAAAAATGTAAACAAGGCTTACAATGTGTAAATCAGCATCAAAAATTCAAGATTGATATAGTTTAAGAATGACAGTGGAAATGTGTGCATTGAGAAAAAAAAATGTTTCAAATGTTGAGTTTGCTACACAAGCACCCAAATGCTGCTATATTTTTTTTGTGTGTGAAAATGTCATGAGTGATGAAGCAGTCAACAAAATTACAAGGAGGAATCAAATGCACCATTGTCATCTTAATAGCATTTGTGTAAAATGTAAACTGTAATACTGCAATCCAACATTACAGGAAAGGCAACGCCAATACTGTGAGGAGCACAGATTTATAGCACAAGTGCTGACTTTGTTCGGACACTATTTTTTTTAAACACATTTGTAAGAAAAACTCATTTCGCCTCAAGTCTACAGTAGCCTACTACAAAAGTTCTGAGCACTACTTCTACACAGTTTCACTTTCTTTCCTTCCCACCAAGCTCTAAGGACAAGTCAACAAAAAGTCCTTCTTTAAAAAGGGATATAGATATATAAAAAAAATGCAGTGAATAAAGAATGAATAAATAAGGTTCAATAAAACATGAACATTGGTCCATATTCTCATATTGCCTTGTAGAGCTGCTCCACCGTAAGGAAGTTGTCCAGCTCGGATCATCACTGAAAGGGGAACAATACTGTTCCCCTTTCTTGCTCCTTGAGCGTGGTAACATGTGCTCAGATGAGAGAACGTTAAAAAGAAATAAATGAAAAGTATTCCATCTCATTCTGTCTTTTCCCTCTTCTTCTTGATCTCTGTTTCTTGCTGGCTCTTTAGTCTTTCTCCCCAAATCTCTACCCCACTTTGTCCTCCTCTTGTCCTTTGGTCGGTCTCTCCTCTAAGTTTTGAAAGACAGATATAGGGGAGCTTGTAGTTCAAGCATTTTTTTGTAGTTTTTCCCTCAATAGTTTTTCCCACATTCCTCAAGGATTTTATCTTAGAGACAGTGGAGAAGCTGATATCTCCTCTTCCTCCTCCTCCATATAGAGGGAGAAGCTGGATGAGGATTTTTCCCTCCTTCTCTCACCTTCTCCTCCCCCTCCTCCCTTCCTTCCGCCTCCTCTCTAGAAGGGTGAGTTGGGGGAGCAGGCGTTACTGGCAGAGCTGATGGAGATGTCATCCGAGTCAGAAGGGAGGTTAAGATTGGGGGAAAGGTCAGATATGGTGTCAGGGGAGAGAGGGGAAAGGCCAGGGAGACAGCTAGGAGGCTCCGCACGCAGTGTTATAGTTGATGTTGTTACTGTTGTCACCCTTGCCATCGTCTGTAACGGCAGGGGCTTCACATCCGGGTGGCGTCCTCGTCTGAGAACCTGCCCCTCCTTATCAAAAGGGGTGGCCTGAAGGAGGAAGGAACAGAGGGTTATGGTTAGATTGTCTAAAGAAGGGATCAGTAGGAAGGTCACTTATTATCAGCTGTGGAGGACCATGAGAGTCTTGCATGCTAAGCAAATTATAATAAATAGCTAATTAGACACTTTGAAGAGGAATTAATAAAAGCAGATGCATTCTTAGTTCTTCTTCGATAATCCTACTTTGATTTTATTGTTTAAGTTCACCATATTCACAAGGCAGCCATGTTCCTCTGACCTCAGCTAAAAGAGGAAAGCTATTATGCTAAACTACAGAGTTCTGGTTTGTAAATTAAATGAATGTAGGCCTACAGTATCTAAATGTTTTAACATCTTAGAGTTTGCAACTTATTATCAACTAAAAATATATTTTTTTGTAAACATTTGGAGAAAAATATGTAAGGAGAAAGAGCCTTTATTTGAGAGCCCCCTGATTACCTTTTAATTTTATGGCTAATGCTAGCATTCAGCCCCTTTCTAGCTAACAATACCTTAGCAAGAATGTTACACTTTTTCTACCATGTATGCTATGACTGCCAAAGTGTTAAGCCTTCAGCTTCTTCTAAACTTATGGTAACATTAGCTTGTTTGTTGATAAATGCTAATGTTAGCTGTAGTGCAGGGCAGCTAACGGCTACATTGTTTGAACTGGAAATATTGGACTAATTTCCCTCCATATTTTCAATATCTTTGGCACATCCTGGTTAGAAATCTCAAGATATAAATGGTTGTGTATCTGTGTATTTTAACATATCATAAATGTAAATGTTGTTTGATTATTAATACTTTTGTTACTAATGAATTCAAGTCTGTTATTAATCTCTCCTCTCAGCATGAATTCATGAAACAAAATCTGTAGCCATGAAGCTCTAGGTCCTCCATAAATCAGTGCAGGACAAAGTCAAAACAAGAGGATGGCAATTTCAGGTGAATAACAACAAGGCATGCTATTAGTAGAGGCAGCCAGGAAGCATGACATTAATCACACACAAAAATCACTGTTGGGGAACAGAGTTATTTCTTTGGAAGTTAAATCTCACAAAGAAACAATGTAAACAGACAGTGAAAGCATCAGCAACACAGGTTCGTTTAGTAGGTTTTCAAAGAAATGCATCTAGTAAACATTCAACGTAGACATTTTGAAGAAACAGCAAAGACATTTTTAAGGGTAACATGGCCCTCCTTATTTATATTTAGAGAAGTCCAGGAGACAGAACACAACACTGAGGACAAGGCTTGACATATTACAGAAAACAACAACAACGCATACTATGTGAAATATGCATTCCCAGGAAAAGTTGGGGTTGTCAAAAAGCCAAGCACAAACACCACACAGCAGGGACGACATGAAGTTGTCAAAGCAGCACAGCAACAGCACAGCAGGTCTGCACATACGGACGAAGGGTGAGACTATTTTTGCTGGTTTTGAACATTGATCTGGTTGTGTCGCTATGGAAACCAGGCGTACCTTATCCAGTACATGGCCGGGTGCTGGTAGAAATCCAACGACCCAGATCTCTGCATAGAAAAGCTGTCATCCAACTGAACACAGAGAAACCAGCATAATCAAACTTAACACCAGCTCATTAAACAAGATATCACAGGACACAAACTAACCTTACTAAAAAAGGTTGCATCTGTCTAAAAGGAAGAAAAAATAACCTGAAAAGACCCCGATATCCGATATAACTTAGACATAAAACCTGACAAGCTGTTACACCGTAGGTGGTATCGTAGTAGTATAAGTGACTTACAGAAATGACTGACACTCCTGCAGTGGTGTCATTGACCTTCGGGCTGGTGTTGAAGTGCTTCTTTATCTTCCCTGCTACAGACAGCTGATGATCATTCTCACATAGACCCTCATCCTGTTAGAGAAAGGAGAAGTAAGTTAGTGCATCTGGAAGAATATACTACGTGGGAGGCCAAATAAGCTTGATAAAAATAGTACTTACAGTGACCCAAGGGTGCTCTAGGACCTGGAGAGCAGAGTATCTCTGATCTACCTCCACCTCCAGCATGGACCGAATCAGCTCCTGCAGCAGCAAACAAAAAAACATTAGTGAGCTGTGATTCCCTTTGTTGCAAGAGACTTCCTTCAAGCATGTGCTATTCACAAACAGACAGATATATTCACCATAGCTGTCTCTGAAACGTTGTCCCAGTATGGTAGAGGAAATTCTAGCTGTCCCATTAGGATCTGATCAAAAAGCACTTCTTGATCGTCATTGCTCCTGCAGACAAAATATTTCAAAAGAATGGGTTACTATAAAAGAAAACACTGGCTCTGATTAACATTGTTCACATTGAAGAAAAGATGTATCATTATTTTTACCATACACTAGAGTAACATTTTTTTAAAGAATGACTTGAAAAGCAGGGGAAGTGGAGCTCTAGCTGTTCGCATACCCTCTGAAAGGTGGAAAACCGCACAGCAGGATGTAAGTGATGACTCCAGCTGCCCAGATGTCAACCTTAAGGCCGTACCTGCAAAATAACAAAGAAATATGATGACTACAAGAAGAAAAAGATAGGTTATTGAAACATGCAGTTAAAGAGTAAAAAGATTTGTCTTTTGTAACCTACAGTGTAACTATTTTAAGATAGATAGTTTGTCTTCCACTGAATTGTCCCTGTCACCTTAACAATAGTGCTGAAGCTCTTACCCTGTTTCTGCGATGATTTCAGGTGCTACATAAGTCGGGGTCCCACAGACCGTGTAAAGGGGTCCGTCTACTACAGTTGCCAAACCAAAGTCTCCCAGTTTCAGGCTTTTGCTGCCATCTGCATGCTCATAGACCTAAACACAAAGAGAATAAGCATAAAACAAAAACAGTTTAACTAAACAGAGTAACTTCAGATCAGTGTGATCCTGATTGTGAGGAATGAGAACTTCTGAGAATGACGTGTGTGTATTCAAATGTTAAATTCCAACTTTTCTACAGAGGAGATGTGTGTCTAATTCTTCTAAAGTTGTAGGAGGATTTAAGGCGATGCTAACATCTGTAAAAGTATCCTGATTTTGTTTGTTGAATAACATTAATCACCCTGGAAGGAGTCTGAGCCTTTCGTTCTCTTTGCCCCCAGGTCAAATCTTCAAGGCTTTGGGAGAAGAGTTAAGTCATGCTTTCTGCTACACAGTTCTTTATTTCCACTGGAGGGCGCCAAAGTTTGAAAATACCCAAATCCTACACATTTGCTTCAAACAAGTATCACTTGAAACCAGCAACAGTATTGGTTAGGAGGTAGTAAATTGAACTGCGCATGGACAAAAGTAATGTGCCAATATAACTGCAAAGAAAATATCAAACGTAAGCTTTCATTTTAATATTTTTTAAATCATAAATCAAATGTTTGTGAAAGGGGGTCACTCCCTAAAATGAACCTAATTATTAACACCTAATTATTACCTAACTGTAGTGTTCCTATTGCTTAACACTTTGGTTCTTTCAGCTCAGTCCTAATTTGTATTTTGGCCATATCTACGGTCTATGATTTTGGCCTACAACTTTACTTTAACAGTCCTACAGTGTATTATTAACAGCTTCAAGAAACCCCTCTGCACTCTACAGACCTACCACCAAACAGCAGGAAAAAAGTTAGTAGTTAGTAAATGGGTACCATGGAACGATTAGTAACCAAAGAACAAGATATTCCACTCAGTAGAGGCTGATTTGAGATACATTTGTGTATCAAAAGTGCTATACAAATAAAGATTGATTGATTGATTGATTGATTGATTGATTGATTGATTGATTGATTGATTGTACTGTGTAAATAAAACACTTTGCCAGCACGTCCTCGCTGCTCAACTCCTAAGGTTAAACATTGACCGAGAATTTGAATGAATTATTTTCTGACATATAACAAAAACTGCAAACACTGAATAATAAAAGTTTATTCAACTATAACTCTATACACAATATGTCAGCTTTTCATTTTTTTTTATGTCAAACTGCTATAAATATGTTTGATCAAACTAAAAAAACAGGATGTTCAAGAATTATTAAAATGACACCCTTGAGAAGCTAACTGTCAGAGAAGTAACACCCAGAGGAGTAACATTTTCTTTTATAGCATCACATTTAACCTCAGCACTTCTTATGTAATTGAGACAGTAGGAGAGCAAAGGGGAGTTACACACTAGAGGAACCAACAGACCTAACTCAGGACAGTGCGGAGCAAATGTGGAAACTTCAGCTATCGCTTTGGGATGGATCTGATCCGAAGGGTGTTAAAAGGGGGAAGAGGAGGGAGGTTACAATATAGAAGATTAGGAGAAGGTAATGAGGAGGTGGGAGGCTTAACAAGAAGTGTGTGAGGAGTTGTGAGGGCAGAAGGTATGAGTCATCTATCTCCTCTGTGAGCATGTTGTAGACTGTAGAGTGAATGATATTACTTCACAGCTCATTCAGAAAGGAGGGAGAAAGGGATGGGGAGCTATACTGCGGCAAGTTTTACGACTATGTAGACAGCAAAGAGACACTCTGTAGGAACTCACCAGCAGGTTTTCTGGTTTGATGTCTCTGTGCACAATGTTGAGGCTGTGGAGGTATTTGATGGCATTGGCTAGATTGTAGAGCATGCCACTGGCATCTCTCTCCGTGTATCTGTTGGCAGAGGTGATGGCATCGAACAGATCTCCACCCTGTGAGAAAAAAAAAAACCAATATGGGTGGGTGTGCTGTCAACATCAGGAACAATGTAAATCAGATCTTGACAGATTCTAAGTTCTAAAAGTTTCTCTTCTTTTCAGCAGTTTTCTGTCTAACAGGTTGATTTTGCAGTGAATGTTCTCCATTGCTCAGAAGCTGGAGGGCTACACTGTGTCCTTATTCCCCACCTTAGTTAAAGCATCTCCTCCCCATGTCTTTAATATTTCCCTTTCATTTCAGAGTTTTTCACTCTCCTCTCTTTTCTCTCCGGCCTCCTTTTCTCTGTTTGTCGAAGTTTCTAACATTTTTTTATGCTGTATGAGTTTCACCCTCCTCTAACTTCTTCCTTTCTCATACATCCTCTCTGTTTCTCTCTCCGAGTGGAATAAGTAGAACAAGGCTTAAAATAGGGCTGCTGAATCTCTCTTCCAGCACAAACTGTGAGAGTCTGCACCAGTAAAGCAACAGTTATTAAAATACTGAGAGCTGCTAAATTCCTCTGTGCCTAACCTGGTAATTTTCACTTTTCTCCTTCCTATCGCCACGTACAGTATGTGGCTAAAGTACATTGAAGCGTTAAACTTGTATGCCATGTTGGGGAATAGTTAACTTTATTTAGTGTAGCTTGCTGGAAGTTTAACCACATTCTTTTTTGCATAATAATTCAGGTCAATAAAATTCCTGTTGCCATTTGGTGAAGTTAATGACTCAAATTATTAATTTAAATTAATAATTATCATATTATTATGTCTACTTATTGGCTAACTTACTAAAATGTTTTAAAACCTACAGTAACATTCTGTGGTTCAACTTCTCCTTGTGTGAAGCATGCTAATTGCTAACTTGAAAAGCTAGCTTCCCAACATTGTTTATGTGGGATTGTTGGCAATGTTCGCATTCAACCAATTCCTAATAACATTATACAGACTTTAAGTGGTGAACATTTATATTAGCAAACAATTTAACCCTTTCATTTTGCACAAATTAACATCAAAGCTGCCATGAGTTATATGAAGTTCTTGAATGCTAACTTTAACTTTTATCTAACATTGGCAAATGAGTTCTTACATCTTGATATATGGCTCCATGTCCCTCAGCATTTTTGTCAACCCGTTTTCTTTTAAGTTTCTAGTCAATCAGGAAGCGGTCAAATTAAAACAGTTAGCTGTATTGGCTATTATTAAACTATTTGCAATCTGGAACTGTTTACAGCATTGCTTCTAGCCCTGAGTCTGACATTAGTGGAGAATTTGTTGTCATGTGAATTTGATGAATGAAGTATGTCTCAAATGTCAAATATTGGTATTCTAATTTTCTTTTTTTTTAAGTACTTTCTAAACAGATTTCCCTGCCAATCATGACTCATTACAGTGGCACTTGAGGGTAATGTGAACGGAAGTTGATCATGAAAAGAAGAGGGAGAAAATAGCAGGATAATGTTGGAGAGTGGGGATAATGTAATCCTTGGTCACATATCATGTATCATACATAACATGAGTTACCTTGTGATATCCGCTCATATTCATTAGACATTTTATGCAGTGTCTTTGTACTAACTCTACACACCAAAACAATTCAACGGTTTTGCTACTTTAAAATCAAGGAACTAAGGGCCAGGCATAAATCTGTATGCAATACTTTTGTTTGTTGTTATTGTGTCTATCATCATACTCCTTGTCTCGCTCCTTTTACTCTTTCCCCCCCTTTTAAAGCCTCCATCTGTTCCTCTCCAGCTCTCAGTCCCTGTCATTCTCACAGCGACTCTTTCCACCTCATTCATCCACAGCCTCTAATCGACCCTCCTACTTTGGACACACTCACACATTTCTTCCACAGATTGCCTCTCATCTATATTCTGTAGTACTCCACATCACAACGCGAACAGATGGATCACATTCCTGGCTCTTGAATTATGCACAAACGTTTCCTGACTTAGAGAGCCAGAGAGAATAAAGAATGTGAACACACGAGTGCTCGTGGCCACAGACCGATTCTCTCTCTGTCCCACACTGTGTGACTGGTTGGAATTAATCATTTGCTTCACCGGCTGAACGTTGCTGCTCTGTCTCTGTTGATGTTTCTGCATCACCCTCTCTGATTGGAGATAATAACCACCGAAATTGTTTTTTGGAAAATATCATCTAGGCATTATCCTAGTTTGGTCTAATACTCCAGCATGTTTAACTTGAGGAGATAATGCACAAACACAATAATTTGTAACCATGGATAAAAATGTCCACACACCTTGACCAGCTCCATCACCAGATAGAGCTCATTATAAGTATCCATCTCCTCAATGAGCAGGACAATATTTGGATGTTTGACTCTTCGAAGGATGGCTACCTCGTTCTGGATCATGTGCTCCTGGAATAAGAGTAGAAATTGATTTTATAAAATGTATTCACATACAATTATAAAAAGAAAGTGACTTAACACCAGGCTAAAAACAAGTTTTTCTACTCCGTCTGGTTGATATTTGTAACCTTTTCCCATATTATTCATTGTGATGGGTGTGGTCAGTGTCCTTTCCTGTCAGGAGTTCATTTCTACATGACTTAATTAAGTCAGGAAGGTAATAAAAAAAAAATGTATTTCTTAGATGGTGTTAAATAAAAAAGTGTCACAGAAAAGGAGACATCAATAAAAAATGTAGGCTACATTTATTTTTTAAATTTCATGCACATTTCAGGTACATCTCATTCATTTTGCTTAAGTGTTGTATGCACTGCTGGACTGAGAACTGTTTATTTTCCCATCTTAAAAATAGAAAAAATCAGTGGCAGCTATCTGTTTTTTTCATTTCAGGTATGTCAAATTGTCTTGAAAATATTCCATGCAATTTGTGGACGCTTTGTACGTTTTGGTTTGATGCAAATCTGTGTTTTTTTTTTGTTAGGGAGAAAAAAACTACATTTCTATAATTGAAAACACATTTCACAAAGCTTCAACAAAGATGCTTTCCCTTCTATTCTTGACATTTAAAAGGTCACCTGACATTCAAAGCTGTTTACAAAAAACGATAGTTCAGTTTTCAACAGTCCATCTTGTTTTTACATGAACAATTACAGCTGAACAACAGCACTGAGTTGGGAAGGTTGACGTTTGTCTTTTCCCTTGAAATCACAGTTTTTTTTTGTTTACCTTGCCTCTACATTTCCCCTTGTTGATGATCTTCAGAGCGTATTCCCGCCCTGTGGTGTGCTCTACGCATTCCCGGACGACTGCAAAGTTGCCATCGCCCAACATGCGTCCCACCTTGTAGCGGTCTGATATGTAGGACGGCACAGCTGGAACCTCATCCACAACCTCAGCTGCAGGGAAAAAGCACACGGTTTATAAACCCTCAGGGACTCAAGGAAGTAAATCTGTACACTTTTTTGACTTGAAAGGATTCATTTCAAATTGTAAAGAAATTTGAAGACGTCTTCTGTGACAGTATCTTTTTTTTTCTTCATTGTCAACAACTTTGTTTTCCAATATTGCTTTTAGTGTTACAGAGTTTTTACATAACAAAGATGTAAATCAGTGGAGGCAAAATATGTGAGAAAATATGGTAATAAGGACAGGAAGTACAAATCAGAAGAGGGACATGCAGACGTCTCATGCAGACGAGACAAGAGACGGTAGACAGAGTGATTAATCAAGAAGGTCATGGACATGATTCAGACATGCATGTTATTCACAAGTACACCGCCTTTGCACACTGCTACACAGATGGGACACTCCTGTGACCTACATTTCTTCTCACCTTCATTGACGACTCCATCCCCATCTTCCACTGAGCTGGAGACTTTAGTGGAAGACAAAGAGGAGGAAGAACCCTGGGACCCCTGCAAAGAGAGGAGAAACAAGTGAGACATTTCTTAAAATCTGAAAAATAGTTTGACGTCAACTCCACACTAATCAAAGAAACAGTCCCCTCTGTGACAATCGCTCCTAAAACAAAAATTCATGTCCAAAGAAAGGCAAAAGTACATTTTGCCATTCCTCTTCTCCTCAGAACATCCTCAAGTCTGTCTTTGTGTTTGCACGTCTGTCTGCTGGATCCCTCCGCCCTGTTGTGTGTGTACACTGAGCTCAAATGGAGAGCCTGACAAATTTGCTTAAGGGGCTAAGCTGAATATAACCCACCTACTAATTCAGTAAAGCACCTGTGTGTGTCAACACTGAAAAGATGATTATATCCCAATAAGCTTCTTTTCCTTTAAAAGAAACCTTAAGTAATGCTTGTTCATGTAATTACACCTTCTCACCATCTTCAATAAAACAGAAAAACACAGGTTTCTGTGTACTAATGAAGTTGAACGAGCACTGCCTTTCATCTGCTTTGGTAAGTACGATAGGTCATTAAGGCAAAGAAGAGTGGCTGAGATATGGCGTCTGCCTCTATCTGACGAAAAAAACTCATTACGCCCTCCACCTCTTATACTTTCCTGTCTGGTTGTCATAGAAGCAAGCGAGGGTGGGAAGCCAGGATCTAGTCCAGACTGTAAATGAGATTCTCCTAGTTCTGGGTTTTCTCCTCCCCTGCCCATCTTTCTCTTCTCCTCTCTTCCAGAAACTGTTTTGATTTAATATTCTAAATTTTTACAGGACATTTAGTCCCTCCATTTGTAACACGGTTTTCTGTCCTTTCTCACTTTCCTTGGAATCCTCTCAGTAAAAAAAATATCTTTATAGAGATATTTTAAATAGCAGTTTTAGGGACTTCCAGCCCTTGAATAAATCTCACAGGTGGTGCTAATGGAGGTGAACTCCATCTTAATTTCACTCTAATAAACAGAGCCCCTCTGGTCGATGGGAATTATTAACAAGCGCATTCTGAGCTATAAATGATCCGCACAACCCGTGTGATGCATGAGCCAATCTTTATTTGCACCTTGCCAGTAACGTAGCACCCAGAGAGAGAGAGCTGAGCATCAGCAGTTTGTCGGTGGATATTCCTTTGAGTGATTCTGTCTGGCCGATGATGATGATACCTTTTTTTTTTTCCTTTTACCCTTCATATCAAGGCAGGTGTAGTTTTTTTTTTTTTTCTTATGCTCTCTCATGATGAATTCACAACACATCGTATGACTCACACAGCATACTCTCCTGGCTCCTTAGAAAAGATGAGATCTTTAAAGTGATGCTCAATTAATGGATGTCTGCCACTGTTGTGATTACAATCATCAGGCTTTTGTAACCACACCATCTAATTCAAGCAGTACATTATCATTGTGTGTTAAGAGTAAAAAAATAAACAGGTAAAAACTGTTTATCCTGTGTATAATTAAATCTGATTTTAAGTGTGTAGTTTTCAATTTTTATATATACACACATACTGGGCACTGATCTCAGCCCTAATATGAAGAGGTATGTAAGTACAAGAAAGGATGCAGACCATATTTAACTAAGTAACAGTATGAAACTATGATAAAAGTTCCTCAGTTAGGACCTTTTATTTTTGATGTTCAGTCAGGCTGTGATATAGCCTACAGAGCTAACTGTCATGGTAGAGACAGAGAAAAATTCAACCCATGGTAATTACTCAGATGACTTAAAACTATTTACAGAGCTGGGCTGCCCTATATCTCTGCCAAAGTAGCTGTCAGCTCTTTTTTTCTCATTTCCACAGCTGAGACCAGGTGACTATAGCACTGAGTCAGCCTGAATTTGGTTTATGTAATGCTGTTTTCATCAGGCACTCATCCAAGAACAAGTATGCCCCCCCACCACCACTTAATAATTATATAGCCGATGACCCTCCTGTGTTTCATATCCAAAACTTCCTCTCTCATTCTGTCTTCTGTTGTCTCATCCAGACTCCTTTATCAGCCCCCCTTGTGCCCTTATCGCCAGTCCAGCCCTGTCCTTTCCTCTCGCCTTCTCATTTTGGACTCCTATCTTTTCTCTCTTCCTGCCACCGAGGGAAACAAAATACTGTTGCTATGGAAACTGCTCACAGGGAGGAGAGAGAAAGAGAGAGAGGCAGCTTATGAGACTTCCAGTGTGGAGACAGAAGCCTATATATGGCCACATCCTTCAACCTTTTATGAACATTGCATCCCTTGTTTCTGTGTGTGAAAACTACGAGACAGATGGAGGGACAAACAGGGAGAGAGGAACTACGTTAAAAAAATAAGTAGTTCAGGACAACCTGATATTGATCATTAGATTTGGCAGGATTAGGCATGTTCATTTCAAAACACAACATTCACTATTCCTACAGCTCTACATCTTTTAAAAATGTTGCTCCGGCTATGACTCACAAGAATACAAAGCACACTGACAAACCTTTTACATCACGGCGGCGGACACTTCCCCTTCAAACCAGCAAGGGCAGCACTCAGCGACTGAATACTGATCAGTGCATAAAATGTAAACTAAACAGGATGTCCATGATTTACCTCACAGCGGAGCATCATCTGCATAGAGGTAGACATGATTCGTTCTGTGGTTGAATTGGGAGTCTTTCATCATTAAAAATGCTCTAAAAAAAAGGTCAAAGCTAGCTTTTTGAACACTATTATGACACACATCCTAAAGCCTTCTTACCCTCTGTCCCTCAGGCTGAGCCAAAGCTCTCCTCCAGCAGCATTTTCTTGTCACTTTCGCCGTCACACAGTATCTAACAAACGCAGGATTTATTGGTGTTTGCTGCTGTGGAAGCATCTAATAAGATTGGATGGAAACGGTGTATTTTGTTTAGTCCCAAGTTTCTCCTCTGCTTCTCATAAAGGATACTTGAGCTCATATTTCTTGGCTCTTATTTTGGTGTCTAGACCGACAGGAAACATAATCTACTTGAGTCTCATCTGAAAGGATCAACCCTCTCAGGGGATTCAGGCATTCAGCTCTGCCAAGTTGGACATAGGGAAGTTTTCTAATCATGATCCTTAAGGGCAGCAATCCGCAGGAATCAAGGGAACCTGATTAAATGCTTCTGGGAAAATTCAAAAAACAGGAGGGAGCCTCGTTTTGCCTCAACCAAGGGGGAAAAAAATAGCAAGACAGAGGAGATGGAAGCACCGCTGGGATTATGTTTGTGTTGTAAACCTTGCTCTGCTCTGCTGAATACACATTTAAGCTTAACAAAGGGGAACGGTTGATAAATGTGTTTACAAAGACGGTTATTAGCATCATTAGCATCCTTCATCTACTGGATATATTTGTTTTGGTTGTGATAAACATGATGAACAAACAACACAAATGAGAAAAAAAAGAGCACAAAATGGAAATTAAATGACAATGAGTTTAATGATGACATCAAGAAATGGAAATGAATACATTAAGCAAAGAAAATGCAAAGAAAAACAAATGAGCCAAGAAGAGCTGGCGGACTCACATGACAAAATTACAATATGTAGATTAGGGCCCAGGTTAGGAAATATGGTGTACCTTTAAGCAAAGAACGCATATAACGTTGATATCTACATATCATATATGCTTATTTCAATGCAAAAATAGTACCCTTAAACCTTGTGCAAAAAGTGATGTTCCTGTGATTTTTGGATTCATTAAAAGATATGTACATCTGAGAAGATTTCAACAATTTATGGGAATTCAAAATATAATTTAAAAAAATAATTTAGCTTTAAAATAATTTTAGTTTTCTCATGAGAAGCAGCCAGTCTTTTTACATTAGACAAACTATGTAATGACATCAACACAACATGAAATAAGAAATACAACACAGCCAAAATGCAATTACAATCTTTAGTAACAACATTTATATGGATGAGAGGGGACAGTAATTAACAAGTCCATGGTACAAACATTCATTTTCAGTCTCTTTCACACACACTCACACACATAATTTAATTCTGGATCAACCGACACACAATATGGACAATAATATTGAGAGATGGAGCATGCAATTCAATGGATTATGGACATGGATGAGTCAACGGTGACACTACGGCTGACGATTAACATTTTGTTTCTCTCGTACATTCACACAAACTGCTACCTGATTGTATCACAGCTGTTGTATGGGCAACATAGACATTCTGTTTGTCTCTGTTTGACTATCATCTGCTTATTGTTTTTTTTTTTTTAACAATGTATTCCCCTGTCTGCGCTTTGTTTCCCATCTAATGGAGCAAACAAGCAGGGGAGAGCTTTATCTGTAAGTGTTGTATGTGTGGATATTGATGGAAACACAAAATCAGGGTGAGTCTGTGTCACTGCATGTGTCTGCAGGCTTCATTAAAAATATGAAATCGATAGAAATACGGGAAGCTGAGCTGCCCTCAGTGAGACAAGTGACCCTGAGAGAAGCACAAAGGGGAAGAGGATGATGAATGGCTTGATGAAAGTATACCATTCTTTCATACTTCTGTTGCCAATTCCTAAAAAATGGGTCACCCAATGTATAAAACACACAACATGTGCAAGCGTGCATCATGCGGATTACATACTTCCTGTGCACAAATGGCTATTTCATGTCAAGTTTTGTTTTTTTTCCCCTGGAGCATACATGACTGTAAGAGATCTGCGTGCAGTTCTCATGAAGATGTTTGCACGTCTGAGTGCGCTTACAGCCATGTATGTGTGAACGGAAAAGCAAGAAAGCCGACAGTGCAATGCAACGTCTGTATATGCAGCCTGGGGAAATAGGTTGCGAATGTCTGTGCTGTGAGAGCAACCTACATCAGGCAGCAAAGTGCCTCTAAGTGTTTAAATGCAGGGTCCGGCGAGGTGAACTATTTAATGCAGCACTCGTCGTAGTAGGTCATAGAGGCTCTGTGGCTGCTAAGAAAATGGATTTATTGTAGCTTTAGTAACTGAAAGTAGAAGTCATTTATTTTTTCAGCCAGAGATGTTCTCTTAATAACCTGGATATTCAAATTACAATCCCTGGATAATTTATGAGTCATGCATTGGTTAAACTTAGTGATACATTTTAGGCGTCAGGCTGGAAAAAGTACTTTTTTTGCCGTTGTTAGCATAACAATAAAAGGATGTGTGTGTGCCCTCTTTATTTATGATTATTCATGCACATTTCCACAGAGGATGCATAAAAATGAGAGAAAATGTGCAAGCACAGTGTCAGAGACTTGGCGCCTACTTCTCAGAGAAGCTTAGAACTCATCTACAAGGGAAATGATGGAATATAATTTACTCCCTATGAAGTTAATACCCTTTCATATGGAGAAGAGAGAGAGAGAAAGAGAGAGAGAGACAGAGAGAGAGAGAGAGAGGGAGAAGGGGGTGGAGGAGCTAGCAAATGGTTTGGAGAAGGACTGAAAGAGAAATTAGAAACTGTCAGGGAGGAAAAGGACAGGGGGAGAATGGCTTCCAGAGCAGATGGGACGAAGAGGAAGAGGAGGAGAGAATTACACCGTTATGTAGCTGAGAAGTGTGAAGCTGCAGTGAGGAGGGGAGATAATGGACCGTAAAGGCTTCCTCACCCCCCCCCCCTCTCTCTCTCTCCCTTCCAGCCAGCCATTGCAGACTTAGTACAGAGTATCAAAGACCATAACAATCTGTCGTTGAGGAATTAACACTGAACTTTGGAGCTGTGTTAAACTATAAATGAACCACTGAGTCATTGAGGTCTGTGGATGAGAAAAGTGGATGGAATCAGAAAGAGAGAGAGTTTGGTGTAAAGTGGAGATGATGCTGACATCTATTTTCCCTTTTAGTCATAACATTTGGCTTTACCTATCCAGAACCCGACTTTCAAGGACAAAATGATTTGAAGAAAAGAGCAGAGCAGCAGAAACTGAGCACTGTTTTATGTCTACAATAGCATGTTCTCACTCAGACAGACGTAAGAGAGAAAAAGGGACTTCAGACATCGGTGCTCTTGCCAATCTCTTTCTCTTTCATCACTGAAATCTGTGCTGACCCACTTCAGGACTGTGGAAGCTCCAGTGCACCTTGTTCTCTTCTCAATAGCAGCAACCCAAATCTGATCATTTCCTGTCGCCCTTGCTGACCTTCATATCCCATCAATAATAACTTCATTGCTGATGGATTCAATAGCCTGAGGGACAGACCCAACATCCATTTATTCTCCCTGGCACGTCAAATGTAGCACGAGATTGAAGCCTCTGAGACCAAGAGATGAATTCTTTATGCTTTTCTAATTTTAGCATTATACAGTCACTCATACATGCAGCCAGACACACTCAATTTTCAACAGGAAAGATTCGCAAATCTTTCTTTTTGTGTCTGATTATAATGTATTGACCCCGATGTTCTTGCCTTATCTTCCCTAAAAAAAAGTCTTTGCACCTGCACTGAAAATGACTAAATAATTACAAAATAAATCAAAGCTGCACTCCCTTTGTCTGGAAGGAAAGTGGAGCGTGTTTGAGTCAGTATTAATGACTCACGCATGTGGGCACCCATATCAAAGCATGGCAGGTTCACATGGTGTGTGTATGTGTTTGTATAGGCGTGTGTGTGTGTGTGTGTGTGTGTGTGTGTGTGTGTGTGTGTGTGTGTGTGTGTGTGTGTGTGTGTGTTTCACTAGGAAGAAGGAGGAACTAAATCAGCAGCAGGCTTAGAGCTCCAGCAAATTAAAAAGAGCTGCTGTGAGAAAACAGTGTCTGATTAGGATTGGGGTTGATATTAAAAGTTTACCATCATTACGTTGAGGAGTGGATTAACAAATACTTTGATCACACACACACACACACACACACACACACACACACACACACACACACACACACACACACACACACACACTGACAGTTTCTGATTTACTAGTATAAAATGTGTGCACTAAAGTGTTTTCATAAAAGGACATGTACAAAATGACACAACAAGATAAAAAATATTCCTAGATCATCATGTGGGTCTTTTCCACAAAATGCTAAGCACTGCATGGTGGCTCAAAGGGGATGCTTAGCAACATTTGCAAAATAAAAACAGACTTAGTCTCATCTTTAGATTGTAATGTGTATGTTGCATAAATGACTGACTAAAGGATGTATAAAAGTCAGTAGTAGCATTAAGTGTGTTCTCCATCAAGACCAAAAAAAAAGCATAAAAACAAGGAATTTCCCTTGAAATCTATTAACACTGGATAAGAATTGTAACATATATGGATCCTAATAGAGCCTGCCATTCATTGAATCCCAAAGCGGCACTGGTGTAGGTCAAAGATCAATGCCCAGTCCCCTTTCTGAGACCCTAAAGATGTTGGGATGTTGTGGTTTCTTCATATTCTAGCGACTCTAAGATGTAGTTGGCCTATGCTCGGTGACAGCTTTGTCCTTTTCCTGAGAACATAGAAGGGATGTGTTAAATATTTAGTGTCACTAAATGTTATGACTGCCCTGTTTTTGGTGTGTTTAACTGTGTATGTGTGTATTTTGGTCTTACCCGGCGTTGGCTGAGGCTGCCCGGGCTGGTCGGGGAAGGGCTGGGAGATTTTCCCGAATGAGGAGTGGAGAGCTGACTGGCCGGTGTCCCGTTCACTGAAAAGGCGGAGAAAATGAGAGCAGGTTGGATGAGACAGGCGAGACGAGACTGAGATAGAAATATTTTTGAAATAGATCATCCTATAAATGCGAATGCATGTTTTTCTGGAACTGTTATATTTCTGAGAGTCTAGCAGCCAGCCCACACTTCCGCCCTCAGCATCCATCCATTCACATGAATGAGGCAGAGGAGGAGGACAAGAAGAGGAGGTAGAGAGAGCGAGAGATAGGAAAAGAGCACTTCAGTCCACACTACTCTTTTTTTTTTTTTTTTTAACTTCAGCAAAATCACAAATAATGTTGCTCTAAATCTGCGTGAAACAATCCAGCCATAACGAGACTTAAAAAAAATGTGCAGGGAATAATTACAGCATGTTCAAGGCTTCAAGTGCATGGCTAGGAGTCAAGGTACACCACCAGGCTGTCCTCATTTTCAACCAGCTCTTCTGTTCTTTGCACTTGTGACCTCCTCCTCGGTCTACTTTTCCAGCTGCAGCACAGAAACCCAGCGGTATCACCTCATTAGACACCAACGTGATATTAATCAACGCTGCACCACATCCAGAGTGTGGTCAAGCAAAAGCCAGATTTGTTAAAAGCCTAACAGCAACATAAACCTTCAGGACATAACATGAGCGTGTTTGCCATCTTAACCCAAAAAAAGGTTAATGTCTTTGGGCAGTAAGACACCTCAAGTCAACTCAAGCTAGCCATAACTGACAGGTCTTTGAATGTGCAGTAATTGGAGGAACCAAAACATTGCTAATTCATGAACAAAGACAGGGGCCAAAATGAAGGGATATGACAGTTTAGGGGAATGAGGGAGGGTCTTTGTTCAATTTAAACTCATAGAAAGGTGAGAGGCATTTCAAGTAACTAAAATATAAAGCAAACCTTTTTCTTTTGAAGAAAATGTGTCAGAATCTTGTTTTTTTTCTGGTAGTGTTATTATTTGTATGTCCTATCAAGCAGCACTGATCTTTATGGTTCGCACTTTTGCCCAAAGCAAATTTCTTCCTAAGGGACAATATAAAGTATATTCAAATTTTTAACCAATCTCATCTAAATAAAAAAAAAAATGCCACAACTCCATTGTCCTTTGAAGAAATATAAATTGATAAGATCCAAGGCAGACAAAAAAAAACATGATTATAATCTGCAATTTTCATATTTCTCTTTGTTTTCTTGTCTATAGCTAAATCTATGCATATCTTACAAGTACCAGCCAATTCTCATTCTCTTTTTAAAAGGATTGATGCATGTAAACAATATTTCCTTTGCAGGCTCCACCTTACATAATAACATTGTTAGACAACATCACTCTTATCGCATCAGTGAAGTGAAACCTGAGGGAGAAAAGTGCTCCAACCTTCATTGTATAATGTTGGTTCCCCTGCTGAGATCAAAGAACTTTCTAAATTATTCAGGACCACAGAATATAAAGCCAACAGAAGACGGAAAGACGGAAGACTTCAATACACGAGTACAACATTTTTTTCAAAGTCCTTGACATATCTTGATATTAAGAAACTAGCTCTTTTTTTTTACTAGAACACTTTTCCTGGACATGTTCATTGATGAATTCTGCATCAACGCTAAGCACAAAGACAGACCCTCCTCCCGGTTACACAACCACAAGCTTCAACATGTAAAAGACGTCTTTCATTGACTTTGTGCTATAAAACACAGCATCGCAACATCACCTCTAATCAGAAACATAGCCAATCAGTGGATAGATCCAATCGAGCCGTTGTAATACTATATCGATATTATCCGAGTACAACTGAAAGTTTATACGGTCATCGACAATGACAGTGTCGATAATAATAAAAAGAAAGTCGAGTTTAATGTGGTTCCAGCTTCCTACCTTCCTCTTCCAGCATGATGAAAAAACACAGTGATAATCCACAGCGGCGTAAAGAGAGGAAGAACAGCACCTGTGCACGCGCTCTGCCCGGCTCTGATAGTAAACTGTGGTGAATGGAGAGACGAAGCAAAGCTATACTAGAGGAGGCGGAGACGATGCTTGCGCAAACTCTGACGCGCACCGGGGAGAGAGAGATGGAGAGAGCGAGAGAGAGAGAGAGAGAGAGAGAGAGAGAGAGAGAGAGAGAGCCTGTAACATATTACATCTAGTCTAGAATTAACCTTTAATGCTGATATTTGGGATGTCAAACATGGCCTATATTGTTTCTTGTTTAGACATCCTTAAGAAACAATGCAGTTTTTTTTAACAGAAATGTCTGTTTTTCATGATTTCTCTTATTCCTCCAGTTATGTTATTGCTGAATTGTTTTCAATAATTGTTATAATAATGAAAAAATAAATAATAAAATGGTTTTGATAATGACTATATTTAAGATGTAGTAGTTAGTAGTTGTTAATGACGATATAATAACTTAAATATATTTAAAAAATGAAAACAAACACTGCCTGTCAGCACCTGCAATCAGATCGGTCTCAAAGTTGTTTGTTTGCATTTACTGACACCGTTTCCTTCTCTCTGGATCCTTGCTTTGTGTTCGATTTACTCTCTGATGTCCGTCACTTTGTTGAAATTCAACAATTCTACAATTATTATTATCAGACGCTTTTATCCAAACAGAAACACAACATTTAAGACCCAGGTAATCAAGGCATGTTCCTCAATTCTGCCTATCAAAGGCAAATGAAGAATAGGCGTATTAGTTGGCTGATGTAAAAGATCTGTGGCTGCCATAATAGTTTATCTTGGCTCACAAAGTTTGACAAAATATAATTGCAGGCCTCCAGCGCCACTGGATTGAAACTACTTCACAGCAACAATGAACAAAATCCAACCTACAGGTTTCTAACTGACCAACCAGAAATGTTCATTGACACCCTCAATCACCAATTCAAAGCACGCCTATAAAGTATTACCCCCAAGCGGTGTCTTTTGTTTTACTTTTATAGTTTTCCCATGAGTTAATGTAGACTATTGGTCCATGCAGTGAAATTTAAACGGGTTCCTTCAAAAGGTCTTCAGTTCCTGGAGAAAGTTCATGAAGTGAATTCACAGGTAATGTGAAACATTCATAACAAATATTGCTTGAGGAAAAACCAGGAATCCATAAAGGACCAAGATACCAATTTGAACAGAACACAAACAATGTTCTGTTTCAGCTTTTTTCACACCTAATGTGGAAAGCACTGTGGCTTAAGGAAGCTGTGTTAGCAGTGAATATGTAAAAACACCTCATTTGTCCAACTGTCTCCAGCTGTGATGGATGATGCACAGGCTACATATTGTGATAAGATATAAAGACCAACAAAATCACAGCTTTAGTAATTCTGTAATATATCTGAAGCCATACTTAGTCGTAACAGGCACTAACTGTAATGTTATTTACTTCGGTTGAATGTTAGAAGTAAGACAAGCAAGTTAAAAAAAATGTCAATGCCATTGCCAAGTAAGAAGATAGCAGGAGGGTGCAGCCCTGCTGGCATATAGCAGAGTAGAGCTTACTAGTTCTAACATAAAACATAAAGTGAATCTGAGTTTGACAGGAATGTCCATCCTTCCTAGTTTTGCAGCCACTTGGTGAGAAGCCAGAATACTGGAACATGTAAATGCTGACCTAATGGAAGTAATGGTCCCATCCAGCAATTTTTTTCCGAGATATTTCAGTCGAGATCAAAGTGGTGGACCGACCAACAGACCAACATTGATATCCCTAGATATCCAATCTAGGCCATTTAATACTGAAATAATAAAACAATGTACAAACACTGCCAACACGATTATTTTTACGTGGGAGGGCAACACTTTAGCTGTGAACAAAATTATAAGCTAACACTAAGGAATATGGGTCAGTAGACTTACATTGTCAGTGGACAACATTTTGAATCATCTTGGGAATGCAAAAACAGAGTTGTCATTTCCTCACCATCTTGGGGAACACCTAGCAAAAAGCCTTAATGGATCAATGTTTCTAAATCAATGGCCGCTCACACTCTCCTTTGTTCATCTTGCCTAATTCTTTTCTTCTTTGTTTTATTTACATTATTAACCCCTAACACTCTGTTCTTGTGAGACACACTATACAAACACACACATCAGCCCCTCACATTGGCCCAAAAGCAAAAACAGGACCTATAGACATGCATATAGGGAGAGATCAGAGTGAGTGGGCTGTGCAGGGACTGGTGCCCTGAGCTATTGCGGTTCGGTGCCCTGCTTCAGGACACTTCGGCAGTGTTCCGGAAGTGAACTGACACCTCTCCAGTAACCAGTCGTAATCCCATAATAGGGCCATAATGGCATTTAAAGCCTCTTGTTTCCAACCCAAGACCCTACAGACTGAGATACTGCCACCCCCAACTGCACAACTGTTTTGTCATTTAGTCTCGTCTAACACCATTATCTCAATGATTCCACCATACACAAATTCTACTGCATATTCATGAAATATGTTTAACAAGAAAGACAAAAAAATACACATTATAACTCAGTATATATGTTTGCATATTCAAGGAAGGCTTTCTTAAAGGCTCCATGGAAATTTAAGCACACAAAATCTGCATGCTATAAAACTATGCACCATGATACATGCGATTACACTTCAAGTACTAACACAATGCTGTTTCATGTACACAAGCCGCCACAAGGCATATAATTATCTTTCCTTTAGTGCAAATATCAACACTGCCTTACGTCCATGAATTTGTTTTTCTTCCAGCCTCTGCTATTTGGTTTGGTTATTCGTTCCGCTCCCTGTGCTTATCCACTTTTGGAGAAAGCACATTTGTACCCTTCAAGGAGCAGGAAAAGTGTTGAAGGCTGCAGACAAGAGTGTCACAGCCAGCAGCTCATCCTCTGCAGACACACTGGAATTAAAGCCTCTCCCTCTCGCACACAGTTGATCATGAATGAGAGAGAAAGGTGACGCCCTGACGTGTCAGAAGTGATTCTCGCTCACACCATCTGCAGCTCTCTTGTTAATTTTAGCTGACGTGAGGCATGAGAGGAAAGCAGGGACACAGATGGCCAGACAGGCAGAAAAACGATGTATGAGTGCAAATTGTTTTTCTCACATTATTTTCGGTGTGTGTGTGTGTGTGTGTGTGTGCGTGTGTGTGTGTGTGTGTGTGTGTGTATAGGCACTCAGCTGAGGTTCTGAGATCATCACAGAGTGAAGCTCCAGCGATGACAATGTCACCCTGACACGCAATAACCTACCCACACAAACATAAAGTCGGGAGCTCTAAAAGGTCTTTGTACATGGCTACAATTCTTTGATACCTTGAAATTGCAAGGTGACTGAAATCGTAACAGAAAGAGTTTGTGTATTCCTGCATGGTTTGTCAGGATCATGCTTATATAACGACCAATGATTAATTGACTTCATTAGACTGAGACCCTCAGTGCAATGATCAGTCTGATAAACTCTTTTTTATTACCTTGCTTATGAATTAATTCAGCATATTTCTCAGAGGGCTTGTGTTCTGGACAAGAGCTGCTTATCTAGTCTGAAAAAGCAATATTAAAGATTAAACATTTATAAAGTTTCAATGTCCGTCATCTGACCTTTGCTGAAATTAATGCACAATTTGAAGTCCATATGACTTCCAGGGGCTTGACCATATATAGTAGTATGTAAGGTATAACACATAATGTGTGCAGATGTACTCCAACACAAGGCAACACATTAATGACTAAAGTTGCTTGTTCCATAGACACAAACCTTTCATCTGATGATGACTATTTAGTGCATTTAAAATGTCATTTTTTTGAGAAGGTATAATTTAAATATTTGAAGGTAAAAATATTTAGATACATTTTAGCAACATGTCTCTTTAGTGTAACAAAAGCAGAGGTTGATTGATGATGACGTCCAACACATTTGCGATTAGAAACAACAAATATGATCATTCTGTAAAACGGTATTCTCTATTGGGGGGACCCATAACAAGGAACAAGTGGAACTAATAATATTGTGTAAGAGTGACAGTAAATCCACCAAACCTATTACATCTGGAAACAAAACTGTGGATATACTGTATATTCAGTCAATTGAACACATACGCTAAGAAACATAAATGATGTAGTGTACTTGACCTATATTAAAGTGTGTTACATAAGTTACACAAGGGGCACCAATACTCATCCCCCATCAATAAACCTGGAACTTCGACCATGGTGGACTTTTTTCACTCTGAATACTACGTCACCTGACCTCCTTCTTCCCTTCCGTGATATTTTCTAAAACACTAGAGGTTGTTGCCTGACATGTATGGATCATATTCATTGACTGCACAAACCATATCTACCATACAGCTATTTTTCAAGGAGGACAGCGCATCAGAGTATTAATTAACCTGTGTTATAAATCTGATTTTGAATTCACAAAGCAAAGTCTTGTATGGCTTTTGAAAAATTATGAATGCATAACGAGCAAATGATTGTTTTTCAAACGGTTATTAAAGTCTACTGTCAGTTAAATATGTAACTGTGCAGTTCAGCAGACGTCTACTCCGTCTATTTCAGCCACACACTGGAAAAACTCTTTTTAAAACAATCAGCTACACCAGCAATGATTTAGGTATGTCAAACTGATTTTTTCCTCCACTTAAACAAAATAATAATCGAATTGGAGAGCTCTATTTTTTTCCAAAATGATATTATTTTGATTAGCAGCGTAAACGCAGGCACACTGTACTTGATAAAATTAAAAAACCTTCAACATATTTTATAAAAAGGGACTGCAAAAGTTATATTTAGATGTTTATATGTCATTTTCTGTCTGTCTTTCTCACCAGTCTGTTTGATGTCCATCACATCCTCTCCCCAGTGGTGTGGCATACACACACAGGACAATAGGTGGAGTGTGACAGCACATGTGTTTCTCTCTCTCTCTCTCTCTCTCTCTCTCTCTCTCTCGCTCTCTCTTTTTCTCTCACACACACACGCACGCAGACACACACACGCAATCTCTGGCATAATTCACGCTTCACATCTTCTCTGTAGAGCTCCCTCAGTCCAGATTATTTGATCTGATAAAAATCTTTTATTAATGCCTGTGGTTGACTGAAAGGATAATAAATATGAGACTTCAAGGCCACTTTCAGAACACCTGAAGACCTGAAGCAAGGTTTCAGTCTACTGGCTTGATTTATTGATACCCTTTACAACAATAATGGCATTGCAGCTGGTTTATAAATATAAATAAAAAGACTATTCATTTAAATGCTAAGGTCTCCTATTAAAAGGATTTTGATGCCATGGTGGGTGTAGACAGTTATATCATTTTGAATAATGAATCATCTTCCAAATAAAAACATTTTTATATTAATGGAATTAAAGTACAATATTGTAATTATATCAATATGGCCAATTAAGCCACACTGCATTGTTATACCTGGAGATTAGATTGGTGAGCGATCAGCAAAGGTGCATATCTTTCTTTCGTTTGAATATATTTATTTGTTGTCAGTCTAATGAAATGTGAAAGGTTTATGTGACAACACTGAGATTACAGATGCCTCACATAAGTAAAGTCTTCCTGTGCAATAGAATCTGCTTTCTTAGCACAGCATGTTTGTGTTATATCTTATTTGGAAAGATAAAAACACAATTTTTGCAATTCTGAAAAGTGAAAAACTAATTCATTTAAAGAAATATGAATAATTTTTCATAAATCCTGATACAATTTGACTGACTTATTATTTTAACACTAGTTTGATTTGATACTGCTTCCACTTCCCAGCACTCCAGGTTACCCATAATAATCTATAACACGTCTATGTCAGCACAGAAACCCTTCTCCTTCCTTCATTATATCATAAGAATCGGGGATATTTTGATTTATCTGATTTCTATCTTCAGTGTTGAGACTTTACCCTGCAGGGCCTTCATGTGAACACGTGGAATAACAACAAAAGGCACATAACACAGTGTCAGCAGTTGTTGACTGATATCATAATTCTTTGGTTGTCCTCAGAGGAACAGGGCATAATGTGCTTTTATAGTAAAAACAAAAACAACTCCTAGGATAATATTGACGGTGAACATCAGCAAACAAAAGGATGTCAGTCAGGTTCAATCAACAGATGGACGCATTGATTTTTCATTTTCTCCATGCATGTTGGTCCACTCTAAAATCTCCTCTGGTACAAACTGATGATGTTGCAGGGAATAAACACAGCGCAGTAAACAACAACATTCCCGGAACATTTGATGATTTAAGCAGCGGAAGCAGCACCGGAGGGGAAACATTTCTCAGAAGTGAGAACAGTCGGTACTCTCTGACTCAGGGTTCCAGCGAGGGCCGAGCATCAGTCAGCTCGACTGCAGGCCATAAAACAGGAAGCCAATGCCATATATGGGTGTCACAGGCTATTGTGTCTGTATCTACATCCTCCTACTGTGCTATGTTTCCATGGCAACCAAGACAAGTCAGTCTTATTTTCCCCTATCTGTCTCAGTGTCTTGCTTTCCCTCTTTCTCTCTCTCTCTCTCTCTCTCACACAGACACACACACACACACACACACTATACAGCTTCATACCAGACAGAGATCTGATAGCATATGACTCACTCTTATAACCTTTTTTTGAAGTTTGCAAGACAACAGCATCTAGAACTTTCTCTGTTTAGCCAAGTTATCCTCCCCACATCCCTCCCCAGCTCTTCTCTACCCTCTGCCTCTCCCTTTCCTCCCCTGCTACATGACGTTATCTGTTGTTGTTTTTTTACTCTGCGCTGTTACATGCTAAAAAAAATATATATATATAATCCAAAAACGAACAAATTTGTAGCTGTGCATGTTTTTTTGCTCAAGATCAGGTGAAACATCTCCTGGGGAGTTTCTGTATGTTGCATCATCCAACAGACCATTCCCCAACAAAACAGATCTGTATGCCCTGAAATGCTCAATTTATATGAGTAAGAATATAATTTGCATAAATACATTTGTTTTGCACACAGTCTAAGCTCAAGCTGTGCAATCAGATAAAAAAAAATGACCTGATATTTGTTAAAGCTGCAGACTAATCACAAAGTCATCAGCAGCTTTGAACCAGACTGAGAAGGTGTGCAACACCAAAACAGACTCACATAAACACATACAATCAGGGCTTCAGTGGAAGCAGTATTTGGTTGTTAGAACTTAAACCCTTTTTTTATATTTGATCACATTGTTTTGCTTTTCTGTTGCCAAGTAAGTGTTTCTTTGTTTTGTCTCAGTCATAAAAGCATCATTATCAGACACAAACAATGCAGCAGGTACCAGTGCAAGCTCTCCCCCATTTCTATTGCATTTCATTAGTATGTCAGGTGAAGAACGGCTAGTGGGGAGCTGCAGGATTGAGTCACCAACCGTCTTCTTATTCCCCTCTCCTCTCCTCTCCTCTTCACTCCCTCTGTCATTTTTTTTCACCTCTTCATTCTGTTTGCCTTTTTATCAACTCCCTTATGAAATCATTCTCATTTGAATTCATATTCTGCATGCTGCAAGACACACATATACACACACACACACACAGACACAGACACACTGACACACAGTAAACACTGCCAGACACTCTGCAGAGCACTGATTTCATGCAGTGTGTATTCATACTCTTTTCATTTGCTGCGACACTGATTAAGTAATGAGCTAGAAAGCACTAAGCAATCACACAAGGACACATGAAGATGCAAACAACTTCCCAACTTTCTCCTATACATCTAAGAAACAGTTTTCATGAAGAAATGATACCGAGTCAGATGTCTTAAAGCGAAAGGTTACCAACTTCAATTGTATTGAGGTAGTAAAATAAGATACAAGTTATTGTACATGTCTTACCAGATGCAGGGGACTTGCTGCGTTGTGATTGGATAATGGTCCTTGGAGAACTTCGGGTTAGGGAGCCAGACATCTTCCCGTAGTTTACAGACCTCACTACGCGGCACTCTACAAGCACAGAGATAATGTAGACATCAGTTTTAGAAGGACAAAAAGCTTCTTTATTTTATTAATTTAATTATTATGATATCAAGTACCCCTCTAACACCAACAGGGTTACAAAAAAAAAAAACACAGGCAGCTGGTGGAATAGCACTGATTGCTGACACTTAACTTACTTAAACAACACTACGCTCTCTGCTAGAACCAGGGTGTTGTTTTTTTTATTCTTACACGATAATTTACCTGGAACCAGTTCATATTTTACGAGGGGCTTCTTTGTCAGGGCACCAGATCAATTGACTGGCACACTTACAGATACAACATTTAAGACAGGAATACCAGTACTGGTTTCGATACTAAAACTGGTATCAAAATCAATACAGGTATTAATGTTAAAGATGGCACTGATACTGGTGCCAATAATGAAACTGGTACCAATACTGTTACTGGTATTAGTACTGATTCTGGTATCGATACTTTTACTGGTATCGATATAAGAACAGGGAAATCTGCTGGTACATAAAATGATGCACTGGAGTACAAAATTGTGCATGTGACACCATGAGATGACAATGTATTTTGTACCAGGTTGTCAGACCTGGTGTGCTGACAACAACCTGCTCCTCAACACCAGCAAGACGAAGGAGATCATCGTGGACTTCAGGAGAGAAAGAGGAAGCACGCACAACCCCATTCACATCAACGGGATGGCTGTTGAACGTGTCTCCAGCTTCAAGTTCCTGGGGACCCACATCACAGAGGACCTCTCCTGGTCCACTAACACCTCCAGTCTGGTTAAGAAGGCTCATCAACGCCTCTTTTTCCTGAGGACACTGAAGAGACACCACCTGTCTTCAGCTGTACTGACGAACTTCTACCGCTGTGTGATCGAGAGCATCCTGACCAGCAGTGTCTCAGTCTGGTACGGAAACTGCTCTGTCGCAGACCGTAAGGCGCTACAGCGGGTGGTAAAAACCGCCCAGCGCATCACAAGGTGTCCACTTCCTGCCATTGAGGATGTCCAAAGAACACGCTGTCTGCGGCGAGCTCATGGCATCCTTAAAGACTCCTCCCACCCTGCCCACAGACTGTTTACCCTCCTGCCCTCCGGCAGGCGCTTCAGAAGCCTCCGGACCAGAACCAGCAGACTGAGGAACAGCTTTTTCCCCAGAGCTGTTTCTCTACTGAACTCTACCCCCCGAACTCTGAACTCTGTCTCTCTCTCTCTCTCTCTCCGCACCCTGCTGACCCCCCTTTCCCCTCCATATCACCTCACACCCCGAACTCTGTATTCTGTCTCTCTCTCTCTCTCCCTCTCTCTCTCCGCACCCTGCTGACCCCCCTTTCCCCTCCATATCACCTCACACCCATCATCCCCCCACCTCTCCTCCTGGTCACACACACACTCATCTCTCATCCATCTGTATTATTGTATTATAGTATGTTCGTATTCTTTAAATTATCTGTAAACTTGTATAACATGCTCACTGCATCTTAATCTGTATATTATTAGTATAGCATGCTCACTGCATCTTAATCTGTATATTATAATCCTAAAAACACACTTATTTTGTAGCATTACTTATTTATAGCATTTATTTATATTTATTGCATCCCATTAATCCAGCCATCCAGATTTACCTAATAATTCACTTTTTCTGGCTACATCTGTAAATTTTGCAATTACTGTACATAGCACAGAATTACTGTACATAGCACAGACTCTTGCACTCAATTACTGTACATAGCACAGACTATTGCACTTTCTGCTTATTTGCACTTCTGGTGAGATGCCAAACCTCATTTCGTTACTCTATACTTGTATATGTGTAATGACAATAAAGTTGAATCTCATCTCATCTCATCTCATCTCATCTCATTTTGTAACACACACATGCTAAAAAGGAAAACATTTGAAATACATAATTTACTAACAAGTATATTTATAGTTTATTGCATTTTTAACCAACTTTCTTTTAATAATTGGATTGATTTTGTCCTTAAGTCTTGCAGGAAACAACCACAACACGTATGCTCCACACAGCTGTACAAGTTTTTTTTACATTCAGGTCGCCTGCAAAAATAAGTTCTGACCTTCACCGGGCGCGTTTCCAAATGCAATTATTGAAGTGTTTCTGGAGTGACAGCTATGACTCACAAAGGTCTGGTATTTCACACACAGGCAGTCCTAGTAAATGAGCCATGTGGTGACATACACACACAAACACGCACGCACACACACACACACACACACACACACACTAAGACAAACACTCCCTGTTTTCGTTGCCAAAACTTCGCTCCTCTCCTGTTCATTAACCCAACCCCATTATTGCTCATTACCATTTTAGACCAACAGGAAGAGGAAATTATACCCAGTCTTCGATGTGTGGGTGCTTTTGCCTGCAAGTGTGTGTGTGTGTGTGTGTGTGTGTGTGTGTGTGTGTGTGTGTGTGTGTGTGTGTGTGTGTTCTTTGTTTGTGTGGCAGACGTTGCGGCCCAATGATTAATGTACAATGTGGAGTGTTAACATGATGACAGTTTGCCATAGGGAGAGCGAGGCGATAATTATAGTGATGCTGAGAGGAGGAGGTAAAGTTGTCTTGAGCTCAGACTGTCTTCTGTCACATTGTCTGTTTCGTTTGTCGCTCTGCTCTCCCGTCTGTCTATCTCTGCCTTTTGCCCTCTGTCTTCTGCACCGTCTCTCGGGTCATGAGGAGGTGTCAAACTGTGTTCTCTGTCTTTGTGTTTGTATTCATGACTTAATGTGGGAACACAAATCTGTTCAGATCTCATTTCTGGGCAAATTCAAGTCCATAGAATGTTAAGCATTTAACTTGGGGATAACATTAACTGTATAATATGTAACACTCACGCATTCAATTTAAAAAGAAACTAGACCAGTTTGTAAGTATTATTGCGTTTTAAACTATTTCAAAACTGGTGGAATTTCTAACTACATTTGAGGTAATGGTACGTTTCAATTGTTTGCCTGTCTTCTGGGGAAACATCAAATGACATTTCTGAGAGTGAGAAAGGAAGCTGTGAATTGTTTACATTTGCTAATACCATTCCTATAGCCATTTAATTTGAGTGAAATTATGGAAGTTTAGCATTACATTGACTGTTCTACTTCTGTCTGTGATGTCAAATGGATTTGCTCTTGCAATATTAGCAGTTAAAGGGGACAACTGTCATGTCCTTACACTACATTAAAGGACAAGATGAAACAATGTATTTTCTTATCGTTTTGATTGAGAGACCCAAGCAGCAGAAATGACATACTGAGCATCTAACACAAAGCATTTAGTGAAGGTTAGTGTTAAGGGTCGGGGTAGACAAAGAAAGATTAAACAATGAGAGATAAATGTGCAGACAAGCCAAAGATGATTTTTCAACAACTGAAGCATAAAATGTGTGTAGCATTTAACATATGTGCAGAGGCAGCGTTCTGTCTTTACGCTCCATATATCTGGTATAAACTCACAGAAATTAAAGGTCCTCTGAGACTCTCTTATAATGAGTTTCTTTTTCCACTTGTCATGATGCTTTGGAAGTCTTCAATTGCCTTGTTGCTGAAAGGTGCTGTCTAAATGAAGTTTGCCTTGCCTATCTGGATGGAATTCTAACTAATTGTGTGTGTGTGTGTGTGTGTGTATAAGTTTGGAAATGCTTATTCCACCCAAACTACATGCAGTTAAATTAAATTAGGATCATGAAAAACTTCTGACGGAGACAATCATCAGTAAGGAATGAAAATGCAGACACCTTGGAAACGTGGTCTTTACACGCCTTGTTGGGGACTTGATGTGTGAGGTTGTTTTGGGGTCTTTAGGTTACTAGTCAGAAAATGGCTAATGAGAGCAGCTAGACATTATCTTATGCATACGAAAGGAGAGTGTGACAGAAGAGATGGGGAAACAAAAGAAGTGAAGGGGGTTTAGAAACCCAGGTGAGATAGATATTATTTAATGGATGAGGGGAAACAGGGGGGGAGGGGGGGACAAATAAATTGAATAAACCCCTGAACAAAAGCCAGTGCACACTCATTCATGTAGGAGGCAGGAAGGGAGATGAGAGCATGAGAATGCAAATGAGCAAAAAACGGCAGAAGCGTTTCAGACAGAGAAGCCAGACGGGTGAAGTGAGGACATGATGTATCCTCAGCAGCACCACAGTGGAGAGACAGGCTGAGAAAAGGGAGTTGGGACAATCGTACAATGGGTTAGACGATGGCTTAAACGCAGCAGACGTTTTTTATTCCGAGAGGAGAAGAGGAGTGGCAGGAGACAATGGAGCGTAATGAACTGAACAGCCCACACAGTCCTCTGCCACCTGAACTGGAGAGATGTGTCATACAGGCAGAAGACAAGGGGTACTGTGAAAGTGAAAAGGCATGATGTAATCAGGGAGAAGCATACTGTCGACTGTAGAGGAAAACAGAACACAGCAAAGAAAAATGATTGATTTTTGACAAATCAACTCAGAGAGAATGGAAGACAATACATGTTATTCTGAACATTTTTATGTATGCATTCACTGTCAAAAAACAACAATATATGCTAGAGTTAGAACAGGGATGGGAATGGCAAAGGACTAAAATCAGGAAATTACCCAATCACACACACACACACACACACACACACACACACACACACACACACACACACACACACACACACACACACACACAAAAGGGTAAAACAATGTATTTTTAAAGTGCATACTGTACCTACAAGTATTGTTTATTTATTATTTTTTTTAACTGCTTCGTCCATGAAAGGTTACATTTTCCATGTACTGTAATGGTTTGACCCATCAGGTAAGGGGGGTTTGATGGACATCCTCCAGGAAATGTTTAGTACCAAACATTTTTTTTCTTGCATTTTGATGCGCTTTGTTTTGCCTCGTCTGCAGCATTTTATCATCATGATCTAGTCTTGAGTCCTCTTTTGTGTCTTTTATTAAAATCGGTCATATTGTCACACAATGGTCAATGCATGTATCTAAATACATAAACAAATAAGTGGGCTTTAATAGTTCCTACCTTTCTGCACTATTTTAGTCCTGCAGAAGTAGCATATGTAGTTTTGTATGACATTAGTGGATTTACTTTAGTTTTGAAAAGACGCAAATTTAAGCAAAATCCTGAATATGAGCAATTTCATGTCAATTTAATTTAGAGATTTAACCTTGTTTTTATTCAACTGGAATCTTTATTCTATTTTAATAAAAAGGGTCGCGATTACATTTTAATGTCCGAAACAGAGGGTCCTGTAGCCATGGTAACTAACTTGCACCTGTCTGAACTGAAGTGGAGAGAGAGAGAGAGAGAGAGAGAGAGCTCTGCTGGGCTTTCCAAGTAGCACTCGTGAAAATTAATGGCACTGTCCTGAGTATATGGTTAAATAGAACACTGTCTTTTTTTTTTTTTTTTTTTTTTTAAAGAGCAGCTCCTAATGTAGAGTTGCCCAAAAAAACACAACTCACATTATATAAAGTTTCACTGTCGATTCCGTTATCACGACTGTCACAGACCTGAAATAAACTATATTTATAACTTAGAATAATAGATAATACTTATATTTAATTTAAAAAGTATTATTGCTTTTATTATCAGCATTTAATATAAGCATATTTACAAACATTATTGTTATTAATATTATTATTATTATTACTGCCATTAGTATTATTATTAGAATTAGAAAATCTAAGACAGTTCAGAATAACATCAGCAGCAAGGAGCTTTACTAAACGATCAAAGTTTTGTGTTTCACATGAGAGGTGGTATTCTAATCAGTGCATTAAGAGATTTAAAAACAGATCTGTCTCTGATCACAAGAGCATTTCTATGTATGTTACTTACAGGCAGTTCTACAGATTAGATTGATGTCTGAGAAAGTTTTTCTGTAGTAATCACTGTTTGCACACTGGTATGACAAACTTGAACTGTTTGTGTATTTGCTTAGTACAACAAAATGAAAAGCAGTATTTAATTAGGCCCTAATACTGAAACAACAGAATAAAGTCTGACACTTCCTATTTCCTATCATTGCATTAATAAAAAATATTTCTCAATAAAATGAACGCACAGAAAAGAGTTTCTAAATGGTCAGAAAAAATAGCTTGGGCCAGAAATGAAAGAAAGGGAAGGAAAATAACAACTAAAGAAGAGATCAGTGAACAGTATAATACGAAATGCCAACAAGGAAATGTCAGGGAAAGAGATATTGGCCTCACCACTTTCATCCAACATCAAGTCATCCTGGTAGCGAAATTTTTCTGGTCCACACGCCACAAAAATGTCCTCATCGCCAAAGAAGTCATGCAGACATGAAACCTGGAAGTAAAGAGAAGAGTTCAATCATTACTTCTTTTATATCTTATATGATTAAAGACAATAGAGAACAATTCCTCCTTTGCAGCTATGCGAAATAATCTAACAGATCTAACAGCTCAAGAGCAATGACAGCTTCAAACGGATAGGGAACTTCAACAGTTTGTTATGGTAAGGAGAATGTAACTACAGACATTTTCCAACGGCTTTGCAGATTTTAAAATAAAGAGTCTCTAGTCAGGCGTCTGTTTCCCTTACGTCTTGGTCTCTGATACTTAAGCACAGGAAAGGGGTAGCAGTTAAAAATGATTAAGGTGAAAAGGCACACGTATGAAGGATCTGGAGACCGAAAAAAAGACCTTCGGGGTGTCTGATTGTGCATACTCGTTTTTTGTTTGCATGCTCATTTGGGTCCATGAAAATATGTGCGCATGCCTGCCATATCCCTGAGTTTCAGCACTTTGTTTCCCTGCACTTAATAAGTCCTTCAGTACCTATTATGAGACCTTGCTGACTCATAGATTCGCTGATGCACATGCACTAAACATCAAGAGGAGAATGTGTGTGTGTGTATGTGTGTGTGTGTGTGTGTGGGGGGGTGGGGGGGTCTGTTCCCTAAAGACTAACATCTTATGGATGGTAATGAGTAACTAACCAAAGTGAGAAACAAAGACAACAGAGGGAGGTGGAATTCATGAGCAACGAGGTGATTAAGAGAGAGATGTTTTAACATTTTTGGCATGAGGCTCTAGAGATTCAAAACTATTTTTTGTCTTCATTAGCGAGCCTAATTAAAACATTCTTCACGAAACTAAAGTCCCAGCATGTTCATTTTGTCTGCACGAAACACGTTATTTGTTTCCTTTCAATCTGTGAATTTATGCTTTATTGTGACAACCAAGCGAAGAAAAGCGAAATGCTGTTCATTATTTTCTATTTGATCTAGTCGACAGCTCATTCCACATCTGATTCAAACTCTGCGTGATTTACTCAGGCAACTTTAATTACACCCCACAGGCCAACAATCACATTTCAATCCCAAGCCATCAATATTCTAAATTATATTTCATGATAGGCACGGCTAGAGTCACAAAGGGAGTTTTCGGGGGAAGACAAAAGTTCATTCATCTGCTATGACAAATCTCCTACCAAAAATCCTATTAGGAGCTATTAAAATTTAGGCAGCATGCACGTCTGGCACCGCCTGGAGATAACACATAAATACAAAGTTCCCCTTATTGCATTTTCATAGCAATTAACATCCAAGAAACAATTTAGATTCCTATTAGCCAATAAACATGCCCCAAAAGAAAGTAACAGCGTTATCAACAGATAACCTACAAACAGCATAGAGGCCATTCCTTCTTTAACTGTGTCTATGTATGAGCCTCTGTGTGTGAGTAGGGATGGGAGTCATCCTGTTTTACCCCCCCGCATACCCTAAAAGAGCCAACAGGGAGAGAAAAAAACAAGTTTAATCGAAGACACAGACTCTCTGTGGACTGTGCGATCATTTTCATTTAACTTTCATATCAAGGCTCAATGTGTCCGTGAGTGTGTGTCTAAGAACGCTGCTCAGCAACACATCACATGAAAACACACACCTCTGCACACATGGATCATTGTCTGAGTGTGTGTGTGTGTGTGTGTGTGTGTGTGTGTGTGTGTGTGTGAGGAAGCAATATTATTATGGTTTCATAACAGAGTGCATATTGCTTTGTTCCCTGATACCCCTTGATAGTGTGTTGGTGATAATTTCAGGGGAGAGCTGCTCGACTTTGTAACTAGATGGCTGTGATACAGATGTGGTTGTTGTTAACATTTCCCCAGTGTCTGTGCTGATGGGAAGCTTTGGCCACTTCTACATCTCGCTGTAGTGTGTGTGTGTATATCAATATCACTGAATTTTCACATTATGTTCTATCTTCATATCAGTTTTGTATTGCTTGCAGTGTCATTCTCACATAAGCTGTTGTGTCTGCTGAGGGCTATAACTTAGGTTTTGAATAACTGTAAACTTGTGATTAATATTGCTTGAGCTCTTCTTGGCTGAGCTGTTAGATTCTGTCACATATTCATAGATACACCTCCTTGTACTTATTGTACTGATGCAATAATGTCTTCTTGGGCTGTAGGGAGGGGTTAATAACTAATTTATCATTTAATAAATCACAGAACTGAGGTGGGCTGAATAAAACTTGGTTCCTGAACCAGGGCCAACTATCTCTTATATTGTTCGTTATCTAGCTAGCGTATTTGAATCAATGAAACCAACAAGAACAAAGCCGACAGATAAAGGTTGGTAATGGGATTTGGCTTAAGTGAAGCCTAGCCTCCTGGCATACAGGAATCCCACTTATTATGCTCAATTATAAATAACATGTAGTCTTAATATAATCTACGGACTGCCTGTAGGCTAAGATAGAAACAAAGCAGAAGTTGTTTTGAAATCCGTGTGCGAGTTTTATAATCCGTGCACACAGATTTGCTAAACTGTTTCCCCCGGTAACAAATCTATGCGCACAGTTCAATCTGTTAGCACAGATTATAAACCATGTGTTTCACCTGATACTTTAGGGACTAGTCTTTAATAACCAAAGTAAATGGGTTACAAAAAATATCACCCCCCACAGAACTTTTACCAATAATAAAAGAAGCTACCCCCCAAAAACCATACTAGTCTGTAAACATTTAAATATCTGCTGTAAAAATGTGATCATTGATATGGGACCTGATGGGGATTTTTTTTATTTTAAACCAGTCTCAAGAAAGATCAATTTTTTTCACTTCCAAATTGACTTGTTTTTTTAACAGCAGAGGTTGCCGCTTGGTGCTAACAAACTATCTTTTTTTGTTGTTTAAACCACAGGGGGACATTGATGCTCACTAGCTTGTTTGCTGCTTGTATCAAATTAGCCAATACTTGTATGCCTTTCTTGGACAGTGAAAACCTTTAGCTGTTACATAAAAGTACTAATTAAACTTGACTTATAATGAAGTGTACTTCATTTGTTTAACTAAACAAATGGTGTACTGTAGATGCAATGTCCACACCAAAAAAAACAGTGTAGTGTAAACGTAAATGGAAAAATTGCACTTATTTACAGATTTTGACTCATATAATGACAACATTGTAGCATCCAAACAGGCTGGGGGATCTACAGAATAGGCAATGGGTTATATTAAATAAACGATGTATAAACTATCTCTATCCAAGCCTCCATAGAAAAGAATGGCCAAACTGCGGTTACTACCTCACAGTTAATCCCAGTGATCATGAATCATGGGATATTTTAATTTAAATGGTTTTCAAACATTCACAAAGAGGATTTGGGGCACTGGAGCTTTTCAAAGATTTGAAATGAAAAAAATAAAAAATAATTTAGTTTATGAAGCATTTCGAATACTACTAACAATTCACCCTTAATCACATGGAAGCCATTGTCCTCTGATCCTATCCCTTACGCTATTTTCAGTTTTCCCTTTAAAATGTTTAAAACATTTTAGCAACTTACAAGAAAATGAACATCAAGTTGTTTTCACTTGTCCTATCATAGAACAGTAAATGAAAGCGTTCGGTAATTTTCTAGCTTTGTTGATTGCACATTTTCAGTTGTTGGGACTGATAGATGAATCTCCTTGGCTGTATAACTCTAACGGTAGGAGAAACGTCTCCCTGAGCAATCTTTTTAGCTATTTTTATATTTCAGGATATATTTCATTATTTTTAGGCTTGTGCTCTTTGGAAAGGCCAAAAAACAGTCATCCCGTTGAAAGCTTTGTTCCCGTCAGAGAGGATTTTTGTTGGATTTCTGAGTCAGTCCAGTCACATCCCCAGGCAAGAACTGCTGCAGACAACCAGGAGGAGGCTGCAGCTTATCCTTAAATAGCAATTGTAGCACATCAGGAATGTACAGCTAAAGCTTACGAAGAACACTTTAAAAATACACCCAAAGAAGTGATTATAAAAAGGTGTTTTTCAAAAGAGAAATAAGGAAACAGGGACAGTCTTAATGTAGGGCACCTGTAACGTGAGTATAAACTAATATGGAGCAAGACACAAACAAACTGTATACTGAGAAGGGTGTGAAAAAAGTATGGTTGCCATGGTGATTGTGCCCTCCAGGCATCTGTGCATGGCTGGTGCGTGCCACTGAATGCATGATGTGCACAGTGTGATAGAGAGCTCCATCATTCATATTTTATCTACTATGGGAACGATACCAGACAGAAATGTGTCATCAAACATAAAACACACACATGAACCTTCACACGCACATACACACAGTGGCACCACGCCTGGATAATACTGAAAAACAAACTGCTGGTTAAAAAAGATGATGTTGAGACACACAGTGACAATGAATGAAGAACAGGAGAGGGGCTGTTTAGTAATCGTGGAAAAAAAAAAACAATCAAAGATGAAATGAACCCCCCTCGTTTTCACAGACAGGGTGAAAACGAGCAATACAGGAGGAGGAGATCTATTCCTGACTGCTGCTCTGAGCCCTTCTCTGAGCCTGATGACAAAACAAGCTGCTTTTATGTCTCTGGTGCTCAGTTCTCACAGAGGAGCAGTGCAGTTACACAACATCCAGCCCTGCTAAAACCAAGGACAGGAAGAAACAAACAAAGCAATGCTGGAGAAGAGGGACTAAAATAAGCGCAGGAGAAAAGAGCAGAGGAGTGTGGAAATTGGCAATTTCATATCCCTTCCATCAACTCTCACACATCTTTATTAAAGTGGGACATGGGTGATAAGACTGGGTCGCGACGATTAAAACACAAGCTGGCATTAAAAAGGTTTTTTTGAAGTTTATGTAATTGCTTTATTCAAGCATTATTTTTGGTTTGTAGCAATACAAACACAGACTGAATGAATGAGGTAATGATGAACAGGTTTCAGGATTTTGTGTCACATGTAACATGTTGGAAAATCTCCAGTCCTTTTCCTTTACTGTCCACCATAAGAGGAAGGTTTATCATCTACTGTATTGGATTAA